TGAATAGCTGGAGGGTGAGTAGTCTCATACTGTAGTAAGGTATGACACTAGTCCTCCAGCTATTCAAAAACAACAATGACACTCGAGAGAAGCTCAGATTGATCTTCCACTCATTGAGTGTGAGTGCGCTTTTAGAATACGGGCGTAAGTCTTGACTGCCTTCTCTATCCTTCTATAACTATATTATATCTTTTCATTCAAAAGATATTTTGATTCCGATTGATACACAAATCACACATCTTTCCAATTGTTCACTATATGCGAGCTATAAATTGAATCTATATATATGACACAGGTATATCTGCAAAACGTTAATCCCCGGTGCATTATTCGGTCTGTTGTTCGACCGTTCGGTTAATCAATCAGTCGGTCAGCGAAATATTTTTGCGTATATACTTCAAAGTTCCCTTTTACGCCTACCCCCCTCTCCCGCATGCATGCTTATTCCTCTCCTTAAGAAATGCAAACCTTATCAATGGAGTTTTAATTACACAACCAATATAAGTGTAATAATTCGAATGGATTTTAAAATTTGTTTGAAGTGATGTAGAGTGTATATAGGTCAGGGGTTCACTTGGAGTATAAGCGTACTTTTCTTTTCCAGTCAGATATGAATAGCAGCTCACTGGAAAGCTACGTTAAAAAATGTTATGCATTTCAGGAAACAGGTTGGTTGGTTATAGATTTTCCATCGGGTAAATATGAATTTCACCAAATTGCCACTATTTTCTCCTTGAGCATCCTAATATTCCCGACAGTATTATTGAATTTCTTTGCAACAATAACAATCCTGAAATGCCCTCAACTAAAGAACAAACTTTGCTATGTCTTAATACTCATTCAATCCGTGGTCGATTTGGGAGTTGGATCTTTTGGTATACCGTTGACTCTCTACTACCTAGTCACTCCGTTTGTGTCATTTCAAAATTGCGCTCTTAGCTTTGGAGCTTTAAAACTATGTCTCGTACCTTTAGCTGTATCCATATTTACATCGTGCGCCATGACGTTTGAGAGATATATTGGCGTATTACATCCATATATGTATGCGAACTTACTGACAAAAAAGAGGATTAAAACCTTCTTATTATTCGGCGTTGTAGTATCAACAACTGTGGTTGTCTTGTCATTCTTTTTTGCTAGAGTTATTACAACCTTCTTACAGGTTTTACTTCCATGTCTTATCAGTTTTACTGGTTTTGTTTACACGAGAATATATCTTGTGGTAAGAAGGCTACACCGCTCGGAAGCAAGACCAGCTCCCTATCCAAACGACGAAAATCGAACTAGAAAGAAACTATTTCTTCGCGAGATCAAGTATGCCAAATCTTGCTTCCTAGTAGTAGTTTGTTTTCTTCTCTCGTTTATACCGTCTATAATGTATTCAGTATTTTTGAAGTCGTTTGGTCCGGATCTGAATTTCAATGTATACTTCTCCTGGATGTTAGTGTTCACCGGTTTATATCCTTGCTTCAATACGATAATATTCTTTTGGTCAAAAACTCTATTGAGAAAAGAAGCCGTGAAGATTTTGAAAGCTTGCTGCCATGTAGAAAAATAATATTGACAGGACTAAAGAGGCACGCAGATTAGAAAATTAGAACAAGAGTTACAAGGGTTTTCAATTGGTTCAAATAAATATTCGAACTCAGCAAATCAGGAACGTCAATGTACAATGGTTTATAACAGATTTAAAAAACACGCGTGTGCTTTTACACCAGTGAGTATAAAAGCATGATGCATGGTGCGACAAAAAAAATCAATCAGTCAGATGGATTTGGTCAAAACGGAGTGTAAACAAAAAATCTAAATTACATTACCGAAAGAAAAAAAGGAAACTACTGGATAATACAAAAAATACTACGGATGTAATAAAACGAGTACTGTATATAGGAATAAGGTGTAAATTAAAGTTAGGCAAGGACAGATATATATATATATATATTGCTAAACATAGGAAAAACGTTCGTTTATACCATGAGGGTGGAAGTATTTTCTCATGTCTGGCAATCTTTGTCCTTATCTAACTTTAATATTCACCTTTTTCCTTACTTGCTTCGTTGTAATCCTATTTTGAAAAATATTATCTTAAAACAAGAAAATAGTGTATTAGTATACTTTCTTATGTAATTCTCTGAAAAAATATTTCTCGGTACTCTACTAGTGACAATATCACATTAAATCCTGTCATTCTTTTGTGATTCCAATTATCCTTATTCAAATATTAAATGCTATAACATATCTTTAAAAGCATTCAGAAGTTTAATATTTTATTTCATCTCATTATACCCTTGACAAATGTCTATCAAAATGCCAAATTTATATCAACATTTTCCATCAACATTTTTATTACACTATTATTTCTTATGTTAAGTATTTGTTTCTTGTTTTAAGAATATATTTCTCAAAATAAGTGAAAATAAAATTTTCTTAAGCAAATGATTTACTGAAGAAGCATGCATGAGGAAATCATAAGAACACATTTTCTTAGCCTATATTACGAAAATAAATGTATAATAGAATAAGTTAGAAAATCTTTCTTGTTTGAAAAAAAATGTTTTAAAACGTTTCTTATTTTACGAGTTATTTTCTTATTGAGAATTAACCAAAATTATTTTGTCATTTTAAGAATGTTTTTCTTAAATTAAGATTTTTTTCTTAATAAGAAAATGAATTTTTGCTGTGTAACAGATTCACTTTGACATTTACTAATAAGAATTAAAATGAAAGAAATATGGATTAATTATTAATATAAAACTAACATGGATTAATACGAAAAAAGTATAATAATATAATTTGTAGAATATCATTTCTACATTATTTTATTTCTGATTCTTGATCTTGGGATATTTTATATATTCGATTTGATATGAAATTGGAAAAGTCCTAATTGTTCTCTTTCTAATTGTAACAGCAAGAGATAAAATTGAATGAATAGGATGCATATATATCTGCAATACTTTTTCCCACGGTGCACCTGTCAACGTATAATTAATTAAAGTGTATTCAGAATTGTCGGTCGAACAGTCGTTTTGCGTTAGTTGAAAAGAGCGCGCATGGACCATAGACACATTTTTAGTTTATTCTTCTAAGTTAAACACACACAACGAAAGTCAAAGAAAAACATGCCCGAAGGAAAACAAGGTACGTTTAGTTTTTGAAATCTGAGATCGTTTTTGATAACATAATTATATTTTAATGAAGGGTTTAACTAGTGTAACATTTGACATCGGTGTGTCTTTCATCTCTTAAGTCGATTCGTGGGGTCTATTCTCGCTACAATTATATCAAAACTGTTGTAAAGATTAATAGTCCAGACTAATGAAGTAATGTAACATGAATACGTAATGCAGCGTCATGCTTGTCATTATGAAGCCCCGATAGGAAGTGAGCTGAATAATGCATGTACGTATGCGGTAAATTGAAGAGAGTTATATTTACCGTAATTATCCAACATCAGAATTGAGTAGACGCAAAGAAATTGAAAGAACATCAAGCACTAAACAGGTTAATATAAATCTATCCACTCCGACTACGAGCAGCCCTTGCTCAGCACCACCAACGGTCCCTTCCCCAACCCCACCTCCATGTCCCTCCTTTTTGTCGTTTTAAATTGCAAGCTTTCTTAATGGACTTTTAATCACACAATCAATATCACATGGCAACGATTAAGATGGACTCGTTAAAATTGTTTTGAACAGATGTAGTCCAAGTGTATTATAAGTCTGATGTTCACTTTAACTTAACTAAACTAAACTAAGCTTATTCGTTTTTTCATTCAAATATGAATAGCAGCTCAGTTAATAGCTAAGCTAAAACATACAATGTTTTCCACACCACAGATTGGTTGGTTACTGATTTTCCAACGAGTAAAAATGAATTTAGCCAAATTGCCACTATTTTCGCATTGGGCATCATAATTTCCTGACAGTGTTATTGAACCTTTTTGCAACAATGACAGTCCTAAAATCCAGCAAACCAAGGAACAAACTTTGTTATTTCACCCATTCATTTGTGGATTTGGGAGCTGGATCTCTTGGTATACCGTTGACAACCCCTTGTCACTCACAGGAGCGTAGGAACCGGGGGGGGAGGCACGGGGCACGTGCCCCCCCCGCCCCCACACACAATTTTTCCAGAGGACTAAAAGTGCCCTTTTTTGTGATGAAAAGTACCCTTTTTTGTGATGAAAAGTGTACTTACAAAATTAACATCAAAGGTGCCCTTTTTGTTCGGAAATTTCCAAGTTTTTTAAAAATGTTTGGTCAAATACGTGCAATTTCGGTATGGTACGGCGGGAAAATTTTTCTCTTCCCCCCCCGTCACCAACACTTCTGGGAAAAATTTTTTAGGTGCCCTTTTCAATACCCTTTTCAATGTCCTTAGAAGCCGGTGCCCCCAATCTTTTGATGCTTCCTACGCCCATGGTCACTCAGTATATGGCGTTTCAAAATTGCACTGTTATTGTCTGAGCTTTCGGACATGCATGTGTCATACTTCCAGTTGTATCTATATCTACATTGTTTGCCTTGGCAACAGAATACTACACAGAAGTTCATCTCCATTGTTTTAGCGTAAGCTCTATTCGTCATGATTCGTCACTCAGCAAGTACCGTAAACAGAAGCAGTCACCCTCCTGGACGTGCGCCATTTTTAGTATCTCCAGGGGGGGACTGCTTCTGTTTACGGTACTTGCTGAGTGACGAATCATGATGACGAATAGATCTTACGCTAAAAACAATGGAGATGGACTTCTGTGTAGTATTCTGTACAATGCCGTTTGAGACGAGATATATCGGCGTATTTCATGCATATAAGTATGGGCCATTACAGACAAAAAACAAGGTAAGAATGAAATGTTAGGCAAGGACAAAATACTGTATATAGCGAAACATATATACATGTATATATATAAGAAAAACGATCAATTATACAATGTGAGGGTGGAAGTGCTTTCTTATGTGTTTAAGAGGAGATTTTTTAAAAAGTCGCGTATTTTTTCCGAAAAGCGATCAAAGCTTAGCGGCCAGGCCTTCGCGAAAAAATAATGCGCCGCCATCTTGGTTTTAAAAGTTTCCCAAAATTTGCGAAGACAAATAACAGAATTTTACTACATTTTTGTCTATGTTACGAGCCAAAACATTGCCAAATATAAAGACAGATGACATGGTAAGTGTAATGTCGTATTTAATAACTGTTATTTGAATTATTATTATATAAAATGTGCACATGTATCTGACTCAGGAGTGAGCACTGAGCATTCAAACCCGTCATCTATAATAATATTAATATAAAAGTAATAAAACTGATTGAAAGTGACTGCTTTCGTTCTTTGAATGATGGCCTGCCTGTTCACAACTCATTAATATATGTATGCAAAATTGTAAAGCACTCTGTTTGAATTTTCAAGGAAGAATTTGTCAATTTGAGTATTTGTAAACAGTTTTTCGCCTCTGGTACTTTTGCATATTTCCACATTAAAGACATTTCACTGCAAGTGCACATAGTCCATGTATCTGTAATTTTAAACTTCATACTGTTTTGTACACATGCAGCTGTTGCAGTGTTTCAGGTATACCATGCTAGTCACTACAAGTTCCCTTTCTGATATAAAGAGTCGTGATGTACTGGTACCGTAAACTTACGACTATAAGCCGCCCCCCGAATATAAGCCCCCCCCCATGTATAAGCCCATCACATGTACTAAAGCTCACCTCATCCCAAATATAAGCCCACCCTGAATATAAGCCCCCCCCCGAATATAAGTCCCCCAAATTGATATAAGCCCAGTAATTGCTGCTTAATACATTTTTAATTTCCTGTTTATGACTGACTTGTATATGTTTGGCTTGTTTATTACTAACACTAACACAAAAGATCATCCATGTATAAGCCCCCCCCCCTTGTATAAGCCCATCAAAAATCGCTTATGAAAGTATTTAAATTAAGCCAGGTTTTATAGTCGGAGGTTTACAGTATATGTATACAGTATATTAAAGTAATTGGAAACCAAAATTTCATGGGATATAGGTAACAATTGCAAGTGGAATTAATAGTTGAAACAACCTACTTTCCCTCATGCATATAACTTGATGTGGTATGAGGGTCGCTAAGCCCGGGCTGGTCTAACCTGAGATTGGGCTGTATTATACGGATAATAACCTGACACAAATATTAATCCAATCACTTTCCACCCCCAACAAAGTTTATATTTAGTATCCAATCAAAATGTCACAGGAGAAATTAAAATTTCGCACAACGACAACAACAATCTGATTATAGTTGTGATCACTATAAAATATATCAACAACAACAGTATAATCTAATTAACACCAACCAATCAAATAACAGATTGAAAAATCTTTTGTCTCGTAGACCAACCAGATTTACAACTGAAATACGGCTGTAAGGCATGGACTTTGTTTAGGTTTGTTTCAGGCCTATTTATTTATTTATAGGCCGGATGGCAGGTTAGGGCCTGACCAACAACTGAGGTAGGATGCATCATCACTATGGAATCCAGACAGGCATGTCAATTTTTGGAAATCAAAGTTGTCTATAAAGTCATAAAGACCCAATACTTTATTTCACAAAGAACTGCCTCCCCCAATACCCCCAAGTAAATCCATCCCACTGCTACACAAAAGAATACTTCTTTCCCTCTAGTTAATTAACAATGAAAGTATATTTTTTACAGATCTCTGCAATATTACTTTTACAACCTTGAAGATATGATTATGATGACAAATGTTGGTACATTGCAGAGTATTTTGTACATCCTATAAACTTTTTGTAATATCCACACAATAGATAAATTTGTATCATAATTAAATTTGTATCACAATCTGTAATTTAATAAATATTCATTTCATCTTGTTTCGTTTCATGTTTTCTTAATAGCCTGCAAGAAAAGATCTTCTTAGAAAATCTGATATTTTTTGAAAATGTATTACAATGTATATACATGATCTAATTGGTTCCTGCCCATGCCCACCCACCTATGTTTTTTCCAATGAAATTAATAAGAGCAGTATGTTGAAAGAGGTTCAAACATGGGAGATTTTCCTGCAAAACATGGGAGATTTTCCTGCAAAAGCTGGGTTTGCCTGATAAGAGAGATATCACTATGTATAGCACAGGCCTTTTTTAAGTACTATCACTATTTGAATTATCACTATTTGAATTGCTCAAACCTGATGCGGAGTAAAATCATCTGGCATTAGACAGAGTAAAATACTAAAGTAAGGCACAATGGGGTGCATTGCCACTTAAAGGGTTAATGAAATCAAATCAACTCAGCATATGGTGTTCAGCCTCCATAACTGAAAGCAATAGACCCTTCCAAGGTTGACAATGCCATAATGAAACAATAGTACAAGGGGTGCAAACACAACGGAATTCCCTATAGGGGAGGTAAATTTGCAAGGGGTACAAACACAATGGTGAAAACTATATATTCAAGATGGCATCCTTAACCTTGGAAGGGCCTATTCTCAGAAAAAAAACTATTTTTACTTCATCCTGAGGTAAGCAAAGGTAATTTTGATCTAGGACAAGAGAGGTGACAGCTTTCCTATATGAAACTTTCTGACATATAAACAAAACAAATTCATCCCACTTACTGGTTTTGCTAGTTCCACATAATGCTAGCTCTGCAGCTTAATGGGTTAATTATGTTACCATTGCAATGATCCTGAAGAAATTGATAAAAAAGGACAATTTTTAGGAAAATTATTTGTCTGCTAACAACAAGGACTGATGTACATGTATGTGCTAGGAACACTAAGGGCTAATGAAAAGTGCTCTAATGTTAGCAAAAGCAGGGAAAGAAAACAATACAAAATACCATCTTGTTAGAAAATAATTAGCAAATGAATTACATTACCATAGCAACCACATGTGACAAATATGGCGGGGGGAAATTTGTCACACAAGCCAAATGCATGTTAAGAACAACTTAAGAAATAACTATTTGTCCAAAAAATACTAATTCAAATCGATATTGTAGCTTGTACAGAAGTTTTTTCGCTAGCCCGGCTACCCGGGCTGGTGACTTTACATGAGAAAATTTCAGCCCGGTTAGCCGGGCGCCCCGTTTGACTCGAGTGAGATCTCGGCTAGGCGGGCTAGACATATAAACTAAAATTGTTTTGTTAAAGAATTTGTAATAAGCCGGGCGCCTCAGTTAACCGGGCCAGCCCGGCTACAAGTGGCTAGCCAGGTTCATGTAAACAGCCCCTAAATGCTAAAATACACTTTAGAAAAGTTTTGATATCCATAGTGATTTATAATCATGAAGAATACTGCATTTTCAGCAAATATTTCCTTACAGCTTGCAAAACATCATAGAGCCACCTTAATTAAATGCAATAAAACTCGAAAAGAAAAGTCGATGAAAATGGCTAAATTCTGCGAGGACCATGCACCTAAAATTTTCCCAAACCATATTAACTTTGAAGTGTAATACATAAACTTCAAGCGTAGATACACCTTGCGGTGTGCCAATCAATATTAAGCATTATTTTTGCAATTTTGTAAAGCCTTTCAGTCATTCTTTTGCCCACTTGGCAGAAAATCAACATTTTCATGATCAAAAAATTTCATAATTTTTTTTTCAGAGTTTTCTTCCAGATTTTGGCCAGCATTATAATGGTACTTGATTACAAAGCTACATAGTTAGGAAACCTATTAATGTTTAACCATTAGGTAGAGTATTTTAAAACAATCAAAACAAAAGCCATCTATTTTAGCAAAAAGTGAGGAAAATGGGAAACTAAAACATTTACTTTTAAAAATTGTGCGAGGACCATTCACCTAAAATTTCTTCAAACAGGCACTGTTTTTATCCTCAAAGACTGTACTACAATGTACTATAAGTCCCACAGTGCGCCAATTGGTTTAAACGTAAAAATATCTAAAATATCCAAGGTGAATCGATTTTGTAAGTTGGCGCGAAAAATGACAGACAATAATGTTTGCAAAAGGAAAATGGACGTTTATCAACACAGTACGCTTCAATACATGCATAAATTGAGATTTATTTGGGCATACGATAACACTCTTTCACATGCAATAATTTTTTTGTGAAATCAACATAAATTTCAAGGTGTATTTGCAGGATAATTTGTGGGAGCGAACGACAATGGGGCTTTTAAAGTCGAAGAAAGGTCGCTCACTTCAAAAGGCAAAATACAAATATCTGGGGCCAAGATCAAATCGATGCAGAAAAGATACAAAGTTTAGGCATATATGTTGCTATTGACGGAATTATTTTTAAGATCTAGCCACATAAAAACAGAACTGAAGCAGTTAAAATATTCGTACCTTCTTGGCTTCTGCATTCGAAGTATACACCTCAGTACACCTCCAGAGTTCGAAGCACGTTGTTGTTGTTTAAAACGCCGTGGAGATGTTTTATTAACTTCCAGTACAGGAAAATATGCTGAATATACCATTTCATCTCTTAGATGTATTAACATCGAGCGAGTTTTCATGAGATCAATAAGCAAAATTTAAACACGTTCACTCCTTTGCCGCCATGTTCCAAAAAACAACAAAATTTACTATTTTTTCGCAAAGCATCACGGTATTTTTGATCGCGAGTTTCTCAATTTTTAAAAAAATCTCCTCTTAACAAGTAATCGCACAGTTCTCGTAAAATTGAGGTTTAATTTCACTTGTGTTTTCAAAGTTTCACAAATTGCCCTCGTCCCTTGAAAACATGCGTGAAATTAAACCTTAATTTTACTCGGCCCCATGTGATTACCTATACTAATACACCCTTCCGGAAAGTACGTCACTTTGGCTATAGAGGCTCGTTTTCGTGTATCAGACATCACTTAAAGGCCACGTCTCAATCACGAAAACGAGGCTCTATAGCCAAAGTGACGTACTTTCCGAAAGCGTGTATTTGGTATCAACTGAACAGGAATGGATTCAGATGGCGAACACTTCGTGAAATATTGGGGGGATTAGGTTGCCCTTAAATTTCATGCAATATATAGCGCCATTTATAGCTTATACCAATGTTTTCATGGCTGAAAAATCACTGATTGGATTATTTATAACTCATTATTTATTACTTATTATTATTATTATTATTTATTCGAGTACGACAGAATTTTTAATGTTTTATTTCAGACCTTGGCAAGAACAAATTTAGATGAACATACTGAAACTCAAAGTTTCGTTGGTCACAGGTTGGTGTGACACAATCTCATTGTTTTAAAGTTATAAAAATTCGAAATTTCACTTCATGCATTTCGTAAGGAAAGGATTTTCAATCGCTTCAGATTCGTGTTCGATGGTTAAATCACTTAAATGATTTGTTTTCACGAACAAGTTTGGCACTGGATTGAAGAATTGATTGAGACTGGATGGAAATTTAATAATTTGAATTAATAAAATAATCGATTGAAAAATATCTTCATATCTTTACATTAACTAAATAGGATTGTATTCTATTTCTTACAGCATGCAAGTTATTAGTCTGTCGTTGTCAATGGATGGTTTAACATTGTTGTCAGGTTCAAAAGATTGTACTGCTAGAGTTTGGGATGTCTCTAGTAGACAATGTTTGAGAGTCTTAGAACACAAAGGTAGAGGAATTATGTCTGCAGTGTTGAAGTGTTGATTTCAACTGCTTTACAGTATTATAATGAAGAATAAAAAACAGAATGCATATACCATAAACAAGCAAACAATTTTAGTGTAGTTTCTGGCAAAACAACTTTCCCAATCGGGCAACCAAGAAGCAACTTCTACTTGCCTGTGATTGTTATTACTTGCCTTGTGCTTGCCCTTCCATCCGTCTCGACAAAACTGGATCATGTAATGATGCAGCTCCCTAGACAACAAGACTCGCGCGACCTCGCATGACATTCCTATCTGTGCATTTTACATTTCTAAGGATATACATTACAGGTAATTATTTATGTTCACAGGTAGTGTGGAAAACGTACAAATATATCCCCGTTATCAAAATTTCGACATCAAACGTTCAAAGACGTCATTACCAGTTCTTGGAACTTTCAAGAGAAGTCTTCACGACTTTAATTCGCAAGAAGAAAGTGTTCCTGTCAGAATTTTTGATAAAAATGTAAGTGCACAATATAGTATTTTGTGATAAATCTTGCAAAATGTTTTAGACTCACAAGTTTGAACAGTTGACGATGATGAAATTTGCTCCTCAACATATCAAATATTTATATAAAATATGTCACCTTGGATATAGAGCCTCGTTTTCGTGATGAGACGTTTGGCATTAACTAAAGCCCGAATTTTTTCGCTGACCAATCACATTGCCAAGATTTGTTTTCCGCTTCGCGCGAAAATACTCGCCTAGTGGAGAACGGGCTTACGTCACATACACGGCGCCAAAGTGACGTACTTTCCGGAAGGGTGTATTCAGACCGCAAATCTTATTTAGCTAGTATTTTATTTGCAACTAGGTGGGATGTTGCATGATCAACCTCTGACGTGATGATACTAACAAGAGCAAGCATATTTGACTATAGGGCAGGAAAAAAGATTCTTCCTGGGAGCACATGCAACCTGGAGACAAAAATTTCCTGCAATCCAACGGCAACGGAGTATTTTTGTTGCATGTGCATAAACATATAGTGTTCTAACTGGCCATGGTTTTAAATTCAAGGAATAATGTCTGTCAACCATATGTTGTTGCGCCCATAGTGGGACATGGGTGTTAAGGCAAATCTTGATTCAAACGAATTTCCTGCAGTGTTCAACATTTCCTGCGAGCAGTGCTCGTGCGCTCGCCTATTTTTCCCACCCCTGTATTAACTATACATTTGTTTTTCTGTAAATTTTACTTCCTTCGACCTGATGACATAAAATGACTACCATCTGCTGTACGGTAGTGGGTACCTATCCCCCAAACCTCCAGTTTAACATCGCCTGAAATTTAAATTTTGTTCAATATAGAATTCGCATGAAAAACAACCAATTCAATATGGACCACTGGAGTGCGTGTTGAGAGAGGTATGAAATTGGCCCGGAGAAACTATACAAAAGAAACACGACTGGGTTTGCCCACCACTGAGAACCTATCGCAGGTTACTGAGAACCCGACTTGTACTTTCGTACTTAGACTTTCGCAAAGTCCTTCGTCTTTGTTTAGAACAAAGGAATTTTCAAGGAAGTAATTTCGTCGTCGCTCCTCGCGTTTATACGAGACTTCGTCGCTCGCGACTCCTCGCGTTTATACGAGGTCGACTTGTATAGCAAGTCTATTTCGTACTCCCAATGGTGGGCAAACTATTTGCTTGCAGGGTAAAGTACCTGCCATCTCGATCCGTAGGCTTGTATATTGCCAGAGATAAAAATAAAAAAGCGAATCTGTCATTCAGCTATGATGTTACAATAAACTATGCAACTCTTTCCCTGGAATTCATTTGAAGTGACTGGAGACAGTCCTTCTCCGCAGGCATCTCTACTTGTTTAGCCTGCGATTGGGTAGTTGCTCGGAAAGTAACGAATGAGCGTGGGAAATGACGTCGCAGACTAGATTTCCCTGAGATGCCTGCGGATGAGGCTAATTTGCTTCGTGGCATTTCAGTTCCGTAACAATATCAATCAATCAATCAATCAATCAATCTGTTTAATTAAAACCAATTTGCAGTTTTTAAAGGAAAACTGAATTACATGGAGTACTAATATAGCATAAAAATTTATATTAAAATGTACATATATATATATTATAAAATAATGTTTATTTAGTTGGGACTGTTAATTAACTATAAAGCTAATAATATTTCCTAGTCACGAAGTTTTTTAACCGTTCAGTGGTTTCTGACCATAAAGGTTGTTCGGCCGTTCTGTCATTCCTTAAGTCATAGTCATGAGTTTTTACCCCGGGACGAATTTCCATAATTTGGGTCAAAGGGTTGTAGGGTGAAACATCACGTCGCAGAGATTCGACGAATTTCTTGCAAGAGATGTCTCTGCGAGTACTCAGATACTGTAAGTTTGAAATTTCAAGGGCTTCATCATATAACAGATCTGGATAAGCTATTCTCAATGCTCTCTTTTGAACAGATTCGAGAATGTCAGATAATGATTTAGGTATTGACGACCATACAGGGGATGCATATTCAATTCTGGATCTGGTCAAACGGACAGAGAAAATATTTATGAAAATATCGAGAGGTTGTTTTATATTTCCATCACGATTTCTCCTGTAGTTTGCCTAGGCCTTCATATGCTGTTCCCTAACGATTACATTTACGTTTTTTTAGAATTGTGAAAACGATGAGATGTGCGGTGGTGAGAAAGAATTGAGTAAATCTAATTTAAAAGAGAAACTGTGCGAATCCAAGCAATTTAATCAAACTCTTTACAAGTTTGCAGTTGAGGAATTACTTTCCGAGGTGCGAGAACAGTCACAACATTCCTGAAACATGATAGTATACTCTCTAGCTCTCTCTATTCAATATGCAGAGTTCCAATAACAGCTGAGCTCAAGGTCCAACATTGAGTTATTGATTTGTGACCGACCAGTCTTCGCCTGGCACTATTTCACGAGTTGGAAATGAACTGCAGCGGTATAAGAACTCAGGATGTGAAACGATCGTTGGACTTCCATGCCAAATTTAATGGCACGTGAACCAATTTGAGCATAGAAAATAAATATGATTTGAATGGTTTATGCCAGTTTTAAATGTATATTTTTTACTTTACGTTTCTAATTCGTACAATGCGAAATTTAGATATAAGCGATTTTCGAATTCTGGAAGTGGCCTAATTACGTCGGCAAGAGAATTATTCTTTGTAAAAATAATTGATTAAAGGTCAGATTATGCCTGGTCTCCATATGTTTGTTGCTGCAGTGTCGATATATTTCTACAATCACAAATGACTGATTTGCATGACAGGTAAACCATACAAAATGCGAGATAGCTTTTGATATCTCACATCATTTACTGTGAATGATTATGACAGCAGCGACAAAATGGATACCAGTCTTCCGATACTGTCCTCATGGTTCGCGCACGAATTTATTTCTATTTGACCTTGCCCTCAATAACAACTCCATCCCCAGGGTGCGATAAATCAAGATTTTTAGTCGTACCTAACTGGTATGCCAATGTTGGGATAGTACAAACTCACTGTGTACTTAGTCTTTAAAATAAAGTACAGGTTTCTGAAATGTATTCAATTAGAACAAGGAGCACATATACAAACACTACAATCGAGTCCAACATTCTTTAGTCCCATTTGTCCAATCATGTTTCATGCCAAGATATGAAGACTTACACATACACCGACTAAATAACGGCTGCGAAGAATTCCTTGGGCTTGGAAAGGTCATCCTGTGCCAGCAAAAAGTAAGTACGCAAATAGCAACAGTTTCGCGTACCTACTGTACGTAGCTGAAGATAAGGAAGTATCAGACCGTAACACTGACGTACCTCTGGTTAGTCTGGTACGTACAAGTTCCTGAATTATCGCACACTGCATCCCTAACCCACTGTGCGCGAAACACGAGGTATAAGTGATTTTTTCATTCTGCACTATGATTAAGTCATTTAAGACATGAACATAATTACACTTATTTCAAAGTTTTAAGAACGCTTGAAAAACATGCGCCTATTCAAATGCGAATTTTCTTCAGATGTACTGCGTGTATGAAAGTAAGTCGAGACACTCCAAATGTATGGAGACACTCCAGATGTATGGGACCGCTCATACATTTAAAACGCTGTACAAAACGTTACTGAACATCTATCAGAAAAAGAAAATTCGCAGTGAACGACTTATACAGAAATTCTAAAGGCCCCTACACATGAGCGGAGACGAGAACTGCAATGATGCATTACAGCAGATTTCTCATGCAATCCACAATCAATATTGCTTATCATATTTGCCTACACTCGGTTACAGTCGTGTTAAGGCCCACACAGACCAGACGCGATTCGGCAACGCGACGCGAATTTTCAGTTTTCAAAAACAAATAAAACCGTCAGCGGATAAAAATTTTACAAGATATGCAGACCCAATAGCTAAAATTGCTTAAGTGGTTCCGAATATTTGAAAAACATTGAAAAATATTAGTTAAATGTCATTGAAAACTGAAAATTCGCGTCGCGTTGCCAAATCGCGTACGGTCTGTATGGACCTTTAGTGTTGTTCAATCTTGTCTGCTGCTTTTAAGCACAGCATTGTCCCGGCATCGTGTAAACAACGCCTAAATTAAATTGTCCATATTAATCTCGCTACTAAAGGAAAACATCTAATGAATTAGTTTATTAGCTCATTTTCATCTTCAGTGTGAATTACGTCGTACGTAGTTGGTAATCTATAAATAAAGATTATATGTGTTAGCTAAGTGAACTAGGTGTGAGATGACTGAAAAAACTATCGCAACATTTCATAATAATTACACGAGGGGCTACGTTTTTACCTCCATTTTGTGTTATGTAGCGCACCCATGGTAAAGCTTGGTAACCACTCTTTTCGATGATCTTGAGGTATCGAACCTGAAAATAAATCGCCGAAGGGGAGGTGATTATCGGCGAATAAAAACCGACACGAAATCGAGGTTTTTATTCACGATAATCACCGAGCCTGAGGTGAATAATTGTTTTGGTATAATTGCATAGGTAATTATTTGAAAAAAATAAAAAATATACATTTCTTCGTCATTTAATTGACAAAACGGCACATGCGGCTAAATCGAGGAATGCACATTTGCCCGACGCCATCTTGAATCATTATTAACTGGGGACATCCGTGGTTATCTTATGATAATAATGAATTAGTAAAATGGTTATCCATTAAAGTGCTCCTGTATCCCCTGTCTACATCCGTAGTCAGTATTTCTATTGTCAGCTGTGAAGTAAACACGCGATAAAAAGTGTTCTTTATTAAATTGACTGGAGATATTTACTATGAAATGATGCTGATTTTTATGGCGAATTCAATGGTGTTCTCCGATTTTCCATCTACTCTGTACACAAATTCCTATAGTAGGGTAAAGACTCGAGTTTTAGAGTATTAAAGGGCGAATATCTCGGTTCAGTTTTTGAATGAAAAAGGAAAACTAGGGCTGTTGATACAGAATTTCATGCAGAATCGAAGGGTAGTTTCAGAATTTCCATCTACCGTGCACACAACTATGTGCTCACTATACGAAAGTAAATTTGCGTGCCAGAGACTAAGTGTCGATTAATGCATAAATATTTCACTGTGAAAAATGTCGATACGCGAAATGCTGTTATTTTGTATTTTCGATCGGTTTATTTAACTTTATATGAAATCAAAAGCTAAAATCAGTCATTATAATATGATTATTTATGATTTAAAAGCATCAAAAGTGTATTTATTGTGATTTTTGCTGCTGTAAACTAGCTTTATTTATATACATATAACAATTTAGTATTTAGGCATGTGCGAGCGACAATTATCCAATCAGAATCCAATATTTTCATTTTCCCGCGAATACTTGCGAATACGTTTGTTTTGATTACATCATTCATGATAGATACTATGACATCATAACTGAGACCCAGGTCATTGCGCGGAATTCAAGATGGCGTCGGGCAAATGTGCATTCCTCGATTTAGCCGCTAGTCAAAACGGCTTCGGCCGCCATTTCTGGGTGATTATAGCGTTATAATCACCTGAACGGCAACCAATCAGCGTGGAGAATTTTCAATAATCACCTATGTAATTATACTAATGAATCGTATTTGATATTTTTCTTTGACAACACTTGTTGAAATTTAGTCTATATAGCATACTGTATATGTGGTTACATATATTTTTAGATTATGTTTTATAATCATCAAATTTTACAGAATTCTCCCCCAAGTTTGAAAAAGTTATATTTTGCAAGGACCCTGGGAAATCTCTAATTGCTTAAAAACAAATAAAACTAAGTTAAGTAGATTATTTGTCGTTTGATCATTAGTGACGTTCAGTGGCGTAGCCAGCTCGATAAGTGGGGGGGGGACATATTCACATATTAATGATGCAGAACACGAATATATGAATATGCCCCCCCCCCCCACTTATCGAGCTGGCTACGCCACTGCTGACGTTTCATCTCGGTACTAACCTGTATACCAGACACGGTGAAGTATGGAATTTCAAATTTTACTTTAATAGGAGGATTGCCCTGTGATTCCTCTGTAAACATCAAAATAGTGTTACATATGACAATGACATGTGTAAGCGTTACAAATATTATAATACACCCTTCCGGAAAGTACGTCACTTTGGCTGTAGAGCCTCGTTTTCGTGTATGTGACATTAAAGTAAAGCCGAGTCTGCCGACATCTCTATCACGAAAACGAGGCATTATAACCAAGGTGACGTATTTTCCGCAAGGGTTGCCCAAATATGCCAAAAAATTTGAAGTGTATGGAAACTTTGGATATACAATATAAGCAATGAAATACAACATGCGAAAGTCTAGACAAAGGTTTTTGTACACGACCCAACTACAATAATTTTGAAGCATTATAAGAATATAATATAAAAAGATCTTTATCATAACAAGACGCGTATAAGCAATTTCAAATGAAACATTTTAAAGCCTTGTCTTCAGTCTCCTATTCTTCACAGCGATATCGTCAACAAACAATTAACATTCAGTATGTAAATTTCACTGTGTAACGTAGCTTTAACATGCTGCGAGTTCTAGGAACCAATCAGAACGTGCCATGCAGGGTTTGTTGAACGTCATCTGTTATAAAAAGAAGTAAATACCTGCTTCAACGCTTGGAAGACCAAAATGAGCTCTCATCAAAAATTCTTTTCCACCCTAGAATTTTAATTGGCAATTAATTGTGCAGGGATTAGTAGAGGTTACACAATAATTGATTTATTAGAAACAATTCCATGTTTCGAGCGAAGGCGTTTCTATCGTAAAGTTATGACGAAAGTGCTTCGCTCGAAGTGTTTTATTCTTTTCATTATATCAATGGAAATATTACAAAATTGTACTTACTGGGAATGACTTGATATTCCACACAATGACGTTGGTTTCTGGGGCATACTTCACCGTTCCCACAGTTGTCTATATAGGAACAAAATTTTGATTACAATTTAAGTTCAATACTTAAAATGAAAACGTCTGTTCCATCTGATTTTCCGTCCCTATCATTACCTACGATAACGTACTGTACATATCGACGTTACGTGTCACCTGCTGTTAGTGAGTGTACTTTGTACCGTTACCTTAAATTTAGGTGAATCCGCGTCACCAGGGACCGGAATTTGAATTTCAACATTGTTGGCTGTCGAGCGTCTCTTGAACTGACTTTTAGCCTAGATAAAAACAAACGACTCCCTGTATATCTGTATTCTCAACGTAAGCTGCTTCGAATAAAAATCGATTAAGGTGGCAATAAATTGCGATCCCGAGATCGTCGATGTTTTTGGAAGTACTGTAATACAGCCATAGGGTTTATATTATACCACTACCTTAAAAATAAGCAGAAACTCGACGTTTCGAGCGAAGGCCCTTCGTCAAGAGTTAGTAGGGGCCTAAACACAGACATTGACTGACAAGGCTTCTAAGGATGATTTTGAACAACTCTAAAATACTTACTTTAATCATGTATTCCACCCTGCTGTGGGAATGTCTTTCAATTACAGACTCGATCCAAATCAATGGTTTCACCTAGATGAATTGAATATGGCGATAAGTTGTGGTACTTTGGTGCAATTATTATAGTATACCTGTAGTATTTGATAGATGACTCAATGTACAGTGGCCGTACAGTAGGTACTAGGTAACCACTTTTGACTGAAAAAAACTTAGGACAGAACTTCCAAGATAAAACTAAAGGGGAAGGTCATAATGGTATTCGCCTTAAGAAGACAAAGGATGCATACGAAGCAGGTCTGGAGACGTGTGTGACACTTTCAGAATTGCATTTTGTCGGCCATAGGCAAAGGCGAAGCTTTTTGTTGCCTGAATGCTGTAATTTTATAAACTAATAATATAAATTTTGAATTTGTCGCTGTCAAAATTATGCGCTTTGAAGGATTGTTTGGTACTCAACACATTGACAACATTAGGCTTTGATCTCATTCACTAGAAATTGATCAGACAACAGGATACGTGAAGTATTTGTGCACGTGCACCATGTGATATTGCATGCCTTTCGATTTTTTACTTACATGTGTATTTAAACGGTACGACATCAGCTCAAATTCCCCATCAGGTGGAATAAATGAAATAGTTCTATCATTGTCAAATCTTGATAGTCTGACGCATTGATTAAACTTGACATCTTCAAGTTCAACTGCTTTACTTTTACCTCCTGCAAGGAAACACAAGACGGTGAGTGTAAAATATAACGTTGGGGTGATCGTGGCACAATGATTAGTGCATAATGTGGATTTGTGGTCAAATCTCAGACATGGCGGCCAAAACTGTGACTTGGCCGGATTTCGAGAGGGGGTGGTGCGCAAATCCCCTGTGACGTTTTGCACCTCCACTGAGAATTTCTGCACCCCTGAAAGTCATGCACCTCCCCTTTGGAAAGTTTCAATGACAGATCAAAGTGAAAATTTTACATTTTTTGTTGCTCAGGGTCTACACTTCGTAAGAGTGTTTTTCTGTAAAATTGAAACAGTGAGAGCCATTCATTTCTGTGTCACACACCCTTTTTATTGAAAGAAACTTTGTAGTAATTGTAATAAAGGGCAAAATTGGATGAGTTGTTTAATCATAATTCATTAATACACTGATACATATGTGCACTACATGCATACGTCATGTCGTTGATTTTGGCCCGTTCTAAGCACTAACTTCCCATGGGGGTCGTGAGTTAGACCGCTGCACCTCCCCTAATTATTTTTCCACCTCCCCCACTATTTCCACCAAAATCTAGCCTTGACTTGTGAGGCCAATATTTCAAAGCGCTTCAGCCAAAATGCGACGATTATAATTGGGAATAGACTACTTATCACATTTAAAGTAAAATGTAATGACTGTTAAAATAATACTGACGTCAGCAATATTATTAAAACTCTAAGAAAAATTGCACAAACCAAAACGTTTTGTAGAACGTTCTTCATAATGATGGAGAAAACAAAGTATCAGTGCAATAATCTGGATTTTAGGAGTTCATTGTTAACGTGAAACCCGCGTCTATATGACTATATGTACGCCTAGCGTACCTATTTTTTTAAAAAAAGTTAAGGACTTTTGGGTACTCAGTGTTGCAAAATGAAAGACTTTCATGGTTTTTAAGGACCCGCGTACGAACCCTGGTGTATACAAATAATATTTGTGAGTATCTCGATCGGCATGAATTACTCGCGCTGTTGTGTTACAGAGGCATCTTTCAGCGTTCGCTTTCCGTTTGGGACATTCAGACATTTTTTCTTTAGCAAGTGATTTCACTGTATTAGGTTTATCACAATAGTTTAGGTAATACTTACGTCCTGTGTTTTCAAAAAGTATTTTATCGTTCAGGCCGAGTCTTAATTCGGGCATTCCTGACAGGTAGCACCTGAGTTTTACTGCTCCAACGATCTCACTTTGAAGAACATTACCATTGGAATTCACCTAAAATACAAGAAAACGTGTACTTTGTAGCTCGGTAGTTTCGTTAGCAAACCTCTAGGTGTGCACCACCAGGTATTGAAACAAACTTTGCTAAAACATTAAGGCTATATGTACATATTAAGATACGGCCAATATAATAAAGATACCGGATGCGGGAAAGTTTGAGGAAAAAGAAGGAATAAAAAGCATTCGTTAACCCGAGCATACAATGTATAAAGTCATTTTCTACACATATAACTTTAAAAACTTATTGTAATACTAATTGTAGTATAACTGCCAAAATGGGCTACTTGCATAACGTACTGGAAACGCGTATAAGTATTTTCTAAATTCAATTTTAACAAACTCGTATAACAATGACAACTACCTTTTTACGGTTTATAAGGTTTTGACGAACTGCATACTGACTTATGCAGTCAAGCATGCTTACTTTATACTGTATAATTTACATTTCAAATAACTGTTAATGCCTTAATTGGCCATTACATGTACCACAATTCCAGTTCCCGCTTCATTAGTTTTAATCAGTTCCAGCCGGAACGGAACTTGGAAATATCGGAGTTTCGTCCGGAATCGACAGTCAGTGCAACCTAGAAAGGTCCCAATCTCGTACCGAGGAGCGTAGTGGAAAGAGCCTGGGTACGAGGTTGGAAAGGTCCGTTCCAAGTATGCTGTGCAAACTATGAAGGCAATTACCAATAGATTAACAGATTCAATGACATCCAAGAAGACTTCATTCTTTCTGTATTTAATGCCTTGTCCTCGCCACGATACAGCATTAGTTAAAGCTTCAGGTGGACGTGGAGCTACTTCAAGTTTATGACCTTCTTGAGTGATGTATCTACATAAATAACATGAAATAACATTGCTAGACAGCAAGAACACGTTGAAGCAATGTCTCGTATATTAGTGAGGTTCAGATTTGACTTATTGACTACCACTACCACTATCCCTCTGACTGGCTTTATGTGCATTTGATTAGTTAATCATTGGTTATTGGTAGCGGTCGCTGTATAGTGGACGTAAAAATCTAAAGCTCCTTAATAAATACGGGAACGGGACGAAAAACAGTCGTTTCACGTGCAGTTTCAGCTACTGTATGAACGCAAAAAAATAATTTCATGGATACACAAAAAATGTCAGAAATGAAGTAAACGGGATTAATGCAGATATATGTTAACTTATATAAACATGTTAGGCCTGTACATGCTGGCGTACTCCCCTTATTGATAGAGGTGTGCGGAAACTAGGGTTTTTTATGTGTGGTACCTTGGTACTAGATCTAGAAATTGAATTACAAGTTGCGAGCAAAATTTCTTCGTGTAACCAGGACTGCAGTGAATGAGAAATTTACTTTACTACAGAGAATGTTTTACTAAACGTACTCTTGTAAAATCTTGCTCTCCGTAAATTGTGGATATCCAAAGTCCATGAGTTCGTCCATGAGTTCATAAATAATCACAAAATTATCTCTGATACTTTCTTCTTCCATTTCTTTAAAGTACTCCATAAATACCTAGAATATATAAACCAATTGTACAGTGTACTTAAAATATGCATGGTACTTCTCAAAACGGTCTGTGTCAGTGTTTAGGTAGTAACGATACTATGAAAGCTATACGGATTCATAGGGATGCAACTATTGAAACATGTTTTCGAGCGCCCTTTGTCGGGAAGTTACTAGCAGAGGTCGGGAAAATTATATGAACTTTTATCCTAGTTTGAGAAGCCTACGAAAAGGCAGCGTCTAAGAAAGAGGTGGGGTACCACGTTGGACAAAAAAGTGTCTCTTCCAGACTTTTGGCTTGGAAGTTCTCATCTTCACTGCAAATGCGGCGAAGACGAAGAAACTGAGAGATGGGAATCGACCTTTTGGTATGGTTGGGGTGGGAAGAGGAAAATAGAAGAATCTGAAGATAGCTGTAAGAGTTAGTGGACTTGTAGAACACAGAAGTAACTTAGAACGTTTATTACTATATAGTTAAATAACTACATATATACAGTTTTGAAGACCTTACAATAAAGCACACAAAACATATAAGCGAGCATACAAATGGCACTAAAACATTGTATAGGACGAAGCCATACAAATAATAGTAGATAAGGGCATGCATGAGAAAAATGACTCGTGATCAAGCACGTATTTGTTGCTTACGTTAGTTCAAACCATGGATAATAAAATAAATGGATATGAAACTAGCTGACGTGACCTAATGTTTTTACTGGGATTGATGGCGTGGCTGGATGCCTCAACCTAGTTGAAAACCAAATTCTCAAAAACGGCATGTTTAGCAATAATACAGCTAAACATTTTAGTCAAAGAGCAAATAAATGTAACCACGCCATTCTACGATGAAAACTCTAAGTATTCCCAGTCAATTTTAGCAAATATTTCAAGCACTAAACAGTGAAAAATACATCGCAAATTTCGCAAAACTTTGTGACGCCAATTTCGTAGCTACAAATGTAAAAAAATACAAAACAAAGACGAAAAACATTTACCTTGAATACTTTGTCGTGGCTTAGGCATGTTTTTAAAACAATTAGACCAGTTTACGCTTCAAGATCACCCTTTTAAAGTGGAAAATATAGCAAAACAACAAAAGTGCCGAGAACTTTGGTAACATTCGCAATACGCGTGACGTCACGTTTTTCAACAAGGATGCAGTCAATGACGTCAGAAGTTTCCAATCCATTTATTTTATTATCCATGGTCAAACGTAGCTTACCTTCACTAATTTATGCAAAAAGGAAAAGATCAATGCCACATTCGCATTCTTCTTGGTTGTGGCAACAACTATAAAACAAACAAGGAAAACATTCTCATCTTTAGCTTATGCGTCAAGTATAATAATAATAATAATAATAAAAATCTTTATTTTGGTAATCCTTAGACACAACAGACGTGTGTCTTTACATGATTTTAGTTATTATTTCTAAAATATACAGTACTATTTACTATATTTACAATATTAATGTAATAACGAAAACAAAAAATAGTCAAACAGACACCTATTTACAAAAGAACGCTTAAATCTTTCAGTTCTGACTTGAGGTAGGATGAAAGGATGATCGCGTTTTCTAATTTTTCTTAAATTTTTTTGTCTTTTTTCAGGCAATAGTTCATATAAAATATCTTCTGGATTATCTAAAATCCTATTGAATAGAATTCTTTCTCTCGTTTCAATCAGCTCAGACATTTTATACTCTTTCAGTACATACCCATATCGATACGCTCGCTAAAAAACTTGTCAATGCGTTCTAAATATTTCTTTTGGAGGGCTGAGCCCCAAATTTCAATACCGTATAAAAATAACGATAATATTATTGAGTCAAAAAGATAGCTGAGATGTTCCTTCCGATATCCATACCTTCTACATACTCTTAGAATATACATTCGACTTCCGTCCTTCGACAACAAGCCATCAACGTGCAGGTCCCAGCAGCACACATCGTCCTCGAAAGTAACACCTAGCAGTTTTAGCCATTTCTTACGTTCAATACCTTCTATAGGCGCTGGTGGCGGCTTAGAAGTTTCACACTTTCACCACTCAGAAGCATCTCCCATGTTTTTGATAAATTTAAAGTCATTCTGTTTCTCCTTGCCCAATTCTCGATGTTCCTCACTTCCATTGTTGCAGAATCACTATTTGACTTTACTGGTGCACTCAGCAAATTTAACCAATACGTTAGTTTCAGGTTGTTTGGGTTTTATGTCATCAACCATAAGAGAAAATAGAAACGGGCCAATGACGGTTCCCTGTTGCACTCCCTTGTTAATACCTACATATCCTGTTATAATTCCGTCAACCACCGCTCTTTGTTTTCGATTCGTCAAAAAACTTATAATCCAATTAATGATATAAGGATTTAGGTTTGTTTGTTTAAGTTTTTCAGTTACGATATCATGCGGGACCGAGTCAAAGGCTTTACTAAAATCAAAAACCCGAACAAACTCAGCATCTTCGTCCAACTATTTCAGCCAATGATGTTGGCATTTAATAAGGGCTGATGTTGTATTTGTCCCTTTTTTATAGGCAAACTGATCATGGCCAATGATTAACTTAGAGTGTTCTAAAATCTCTTCCCTAAAAACAATTTTCTCAAAAAGTCTCATGATGATGTTAGACAATGAAATGGGTCTTAGCTGGCTGCAGTCTGATAATGTTGACTCTTTTTGTATTGGGCTGATATTTGCGAGTTTCCACAGCGAGGGAACATGCTGTTCATGCAAGGAAAGATTTAATACTTTAGTAAGTACAGGTGCAAGATAGTGAGCATAGTCTTTCCACAGCCAGTATGGAAGTCCATCAGCTAGGGCCTGGTGAAGTTCGCTTTTGTTTCATCATGCACGTTTCAACTGTTTGTATATCAACCTTCGGGATTCGAATTCTTGGGAGATTGTTAAGAGTTGTGGGGGTGTATACTGAGTGTCCGTATTTACGCTTTGAAAATAGGTGTTAATAATATTTGGATCGATGGAAGAACTAATGTTATGGGATTTTATACTTCTGCCCGTGATTTTATTGACAGTATTCAACCAACCTTTTGCCCCTTGTTTATACTTCTTATTTTCATTCGACACAGCACGAATTTGATTATCTGGAATAAGTTTATTTATTCTTTCCTGAAGTTCAGTGTTGGCTCCTCTACTTATTTGTTTGTTTCGTATTTTACATAACTGTTTCACTAATGGGGACATATAAGGTGGGTCATGTGAGGAGGTTTTAATCTTGATTAGAGGAAAACTCTCGTTGAACATTAAAACAATTTCTTGGTTCAGCACCAACACTGCTTCCTCAGCATCATTAGCACTATAGACTTTACTCCAGTCGAAAACTTTTAATTTGTTCTCCATGGCAATCTTTCGGTGGTGCCTAACATCTCTGAAGTAAACATGTTTTCGTTCGGGTCTAACCTGGAGCCTTGGTGCAACCATAACCGCCAGATGATCGGACCTAACTAGACCTTTGAATACAGTGGGTTGTGTCCACAAGAGAGGGCAATTCGTCAAAAACACGTCCAATATTCTCGGACCTCTGGTAGACTTTTTGACCAGTTGTTCTAGGTTATGTTGGTTACAAAGATCTTGTATCCTTAGTTGGTTTATGTCACCAGCAATAATTAACCTAGCATTAGGTTCAGTGAGTAAAATCTGCTCGCAACTGTCAAACAAATGATCCAGAAATTCGGATTCAGAGTACTCTGGGTCAGGTGGGTAATAAACTGCTCCAATATGATATTTGCTGTTTTTTGTCTGAATTTCGCACCACAAGCATTCAAAGTTATTTTGCAAAGCAAGTTTTTTAACTTTCCAATCACTTCGGCAAAGAATTGCAACACCACCACCATGTCGACATGCACTACGAGTACGATCTTTTCTCACAAAAGTATAACCGCTAGGACAAATTAGACAGGACTGTATTTTCTCTGTGAGCCACGTCTCAGATATTATGCAAATGTCAACATTGTTTGTACTCAATTCAGCATTAAGTGCCGACGCAGCATCTGGTTTGGCTGCTGATCTAGCGTTAATTACCAAACATTTAGGTATAATCTTGGAGACAGGGGGGGCTGATTTTAAAATTCTCACTTGTATCAAGTTGGTGTTACGTTCCCTGTTCTTGAGAGATCGCGCGTTGAGATGGACTAGTTTTGTTTTATTCGAGTTCGAGGTACCATTTTTCATTGCCGTCTTTCGACATATTTCTACACAATTATGTGTACAATGACCACGATCATTTAACACTGTAGTTTGTCTAGATGAAATGATCGTAACTTGGATTGGGAAATTGGGGTTCTGATCTGGTGACCTTGGTCCTTGGGTATGGCATATTAGATATTATATAACACCTCATTTAATTGGCTGATTATGATCACGTGATATGGAATAAAAATTTTATCGGGCATGCAATGGAACCATAGATATCTTATATACACTAGATAGCGCATCTCATTTAGCAAAATTGAAGCCAAGAATATTCCAGCGGTTACCCCCATTTGAATAGATGGCGGCCTTTTTGGTCGTTCCCACTTGCTAATAAACGCTTAAACAACAACAATAACTTTCATCATTTGAATAGTTTAAAAACGTATTTGGAATAGGGTTAACTTAATGTTTAAGTTCCCTGTTTAAGAAATAGAAAACATACGAATCTTCTCATTTCATGGGAACGACCTGAGACTGCAATCACGGCTTCAATTTTTGAATTGCAGAATAATTAGATGCACTATCTAGTGTATATAAGATATCCATGAATGGAACGCGTTCAAAATTTAATCGTATCCTAATCGTAGCTCATGCAACCCAAATCTTCATAATGAGGCCGATGGAATTATATTCAAATGCATATAATTTGTGCAAAGCAAAATCACTAAAAATCAAGGCGCTTATGTATATATACAGTATAAGCGCTCCGCTAAAAATGTTATTTTAATGACAATATTGAGTTAAATGAATGCCATTATTACATTATTTAACTCTTCATTGTTATTACATAAACATTTTTTGGGACATATTTGTTGGACTTCTATTGATTTTATGCAACTCAGGTATGCATTTGTTAACGATATTGCTGATTTATTTTGATGTTATATAAAATAAATAATATTTCCATTCGTGTAATAGTTGTGTTTTCTACACACGGGTCACATATAGAATTACACGAGTGACATCACAAGTGACGTAACCACTCTCCGTGCATTAAGATTCCTTCCTGATAGACAGATTAAGATTTAGATTTAGCAAATCAAACATAATGTGCAGGAATATATATAGCTTAGCAAAGAATTCAATACCTACCATAAAGATTATGATGTTTTATGTAAGTAAATGTAGCACTCTCATGAATTATAATTGGAGATGCATTGCCCTCATCTTCACAATCCAAAACCAATGGAAAGAATTTTTCTATCACAGACATTTCTAGATCACCACGGTAATTTCGTGATATAAGCACCTGCGTGAAAATCACAGTCATGTTAGTCATATTTACTAGAGGGTGATAACGGGGGAGATTGGATCACGTTCCCGTAAAAAAAGAGCCATTTCATGTTTCACGTGCAAAAAAGTTCGATTTCACGAAAATTAAAAAAAAGTTCTATCGTGAGGATTTATTGCCGTTCTTAAACCTTAAACGCTAAGCACGCAAAGCTTAATGGGAGCACAAGTTTCAAGCTTAGTAGTTGAATATTGCAGCTATTTGTGAATGAATTGTTCTCGTAAGGAGATATTTACCATGTCTCTAAGGGATGTTCTCCAATCCCCATATATGATTTCTAAACTGATTAAACTAAAGGATGCTCCCATTATGCTTTGCACGCTTAGAGTTTAAGGTTTAAGCTTTTTTTAAAATTAATATTTATTTTCAGGAAGCTTTCTCACAAAGTGATTTTCAGAAAGGTCCTAAACTAAATAAACAAATTTACAAGGAAGACATGCATATACTACATAACTATGAAAAATATTAATTTAAGGTTTGCAAAAGACAACCTTTTTTGAATTATGATTTTTCTGTGTTGGTGTAATGTACTCAGGTGAATATGATGCTTGTGATGTTACTCTGAGTGTATATCCACACCGGGCAAGCTTGAAAAATATGCCTGACCACGGTGGGAATCGAACCTACGACCTTTGGAATACTAGCCCAATGCTCTGCCAACTGAGCTACGCGGTCTGGTCGGTTCGATTATGTGATATTTCGGAACAGAATCATGATATTATTAGATAACATTGATATCGAAGGAACTAAATTCTGTTCCGAAATATCACATACTCGAACCGACCAGACCGCGTAGCTCAGTTGGCAGAGCATTGGGCTAGTATTCCAAAGGTCGTAGGTTCGATTCCCACCGTGGTCAGGCATATTTTTCAAGCTTTTTTGAATTAGCTGTATACTCAACATTACTTTTAGTTTCTTCTTGATTTTACAAATTGTAATAATATGTACTGTAACTACTGTATGTAAATAAATTTATTAGATATTTTGTGTATATATATATACAACCACCCTTCAAGGGGTACATTTTTGTATCTGTGCATGCAGATATATTGTTACCATGTAAGCAATTATGTGTGTTTATAATGAAATTTGTTAGCTTCTAGCCAATCGGTAACTATTTTAGCTAGTTGTAACCAATCAGTGATTGCTATGAGTGGTAAGGAGGGTGACAGCTATATATCTTGCTCTGGAGTGATTCTTTTATTATAAATATTAACATTTAATGATGGAAATCAAAACAGCTTGACATTTAAGGATTCACAAGCTCATCTCATTTTCAGCCACGGGAGAGGTTCTATTGCCATGGTTGATTGATAACAATGAAACACGATAAATGCTATAAACTATACGGATCTGAAATTTGCGGTATCCCGATATCCACAGGATACTAAAATTTGGTTTTGGATACCAAACTGTGAGGAAATTTCAAACATTAGGAAAATGTTAAGCACCTCTGACAGTCTCCTGATAGCTTTTGAATACTATGAGTTTGCTAACGAAGCCTTTCGTCATATAATTATAATGTGCATTTTTGTGAATTGTCTAATTGTTGACTGTTGAATCTCCTGTTATTATTGTAATTTGTAACGGTAGGAATGGAATGGAAACTTATTTGGATGGGACAGGGTATAATATTTAGGGTAACCAGTATCCAGAAGTGAGATACTGGATTCTCGGGGGGTGTTATTAAACTTTGAATCCTGGTATCCCAGTTGGATACGGAGAAAAAAATTAAATTTCAGACCCTGAACTATACTTTCTTTCATCAGATTTTTAATCTTGAATTTTGAGGAAAATGGATGTTTTTCGCTCAACTTATTCAATAACCAAAATTTCACACTGTTTAGACAGTTAGCTTGTAAAGCTTAGTTGGTCTCTCATATATAATTAGCATTCCTCAAGCTTGGTTTATCCACCATCTTAAGGAATGTCGCCTACAGTACTGTTTGTAAACATCTTAACACTTTTTTGTGTATGATACGTGTATCATACACGTAGCGTATCATATGAATACGCGTATTATACGCGTAGCGAATCATATGAATACGTGTATCATTCGCGTAGCGTATCACATGAATACGTGTATCATTCGCGTAGCGTATCATATGAACATGTGTATCATTCGCGTAGCGTATCATATGAATACGCGTATCATTCGCGTAGCGTATCTTATGAATATGCGTATCATTTCACGTAGCGTATCATATGAATATGTGTATCATTCGCACTTAACATTAATGGCAAGGAGATCAGTGATCCTATCGAGGTTGGCGATCTCTTTAATGAATACTTCTCCTCTATTGCAGACAACTTTGATATCAGTTTACTAAACAACCCAATTAATACTCATTTACCAATTGCAACAAATCATATTAAGTTTACAATTCCACTGATAACAATCGATGACATATTAAATCTTGCAGCCGAATTAGACCAGACGACAAGTCAACCGGTCTTGATGGTATTCCTGCCTACTTCATCAAGTCCTCGATTCATTCCATTGCACCCATAATACTTCGCATTTGTAATATGAGCATTGAAAATGGCGTCTTTCCCAACATGTGGAAGAAAGCTAGACTGATTCCAATCTATAAAGCTGAAACACGTACTGAGAGAAACAATTACAGGCCCATTTCTATATTACCGATTCTATCGAAACTCCTCGAACGACATGTTGCCAACTCATATGTAAAATTCCTCACAGAAAATGATATTCTATCGAGTTGTCAGCATGGTTTTCGAGCCCATCACTCTTGTGAATCTACTCTAATATTGATCTGTGAACACCTTCTTGATAACATTGAGCAAGGTTTAATTAATGGTATAGCTCTAATTGACCTCTCCAAAGCGTTTGACCTGGTTGATCATAGATTGCTACTGCAGAAATTAGAACAATATGGCATTACTCCAATAGCTTTAAAATGGTTTAAATCGTATCTAAATGATCGTTACCAAGTAGTACAAATTGCATCATCCCTATCCAACCCAGCTCTGATAAAGTCTGGTGTGCCTCAAGGATCTATACTAGGACCAATTCTCTTTCTTATCGATTTACCGATTTATTATTAACGATTTACCCAGTTACATTGGAAGTTCTAAGCCTTTTTTATTTGCCGATGACTCTACACTAATATCCTCCGGATCGGACCTTCACGAACTTAGTGTCTCTCTAAAGTTAGATATGACCTCAGTGTCCCGTTGGACTAACCATAAAAAAATGTCTCTTAATCCTGGCAAGACAAAAATAATGAAAAGATATTCCCAATCTAAATTCCCTGATCTTAGTCCAATAACCATTGAAGTCAATAACAATAATGTTAAGGAGATTACATCCGCCATTTTACTTTTAGAGTTACATTAGACCAACATCTGAAATGGGATAAGCAAATTAATACCAATCTACAATATAATCAATTCTAGACTTTACCTGCTCAAACGTATACGTAGCTATCTCACTTTTCAATCCCGTATTCAATTATATTACGCACTAATCTACCCACACTTGCTATATTGTAGCACAGTCTGGGGCAATGCTAATAACGATCTAATTACGTGCCTACTAAAACTACAGAAACGTGCAGCGAGACTAATTCTTGAGCAGTCAACTGAAGTGCCTTCAATTGTGCTTTTCCGTAAACTCAACTGGATACCTATTTTTAATTTGATCAAAATGAGAAAAATATTATTGGTATTCAATACTTTAAAAACATCTTGGCCGCCGGATCTTCGTAAATTGTTTGTCTTTGTTCGCGACTCTCATCCAATTCCAACTAGATCGTCTATTACAGACTTAAAAGTTCCATCAGTTAAGACTACGCAAGCAAAATCCAAAATTTCCTTCAGTGGTGCAACTTTATTTAATTTTTTACCTTCCGAATTAAAAGATATTGAAAATCACTCAATTTATTCCTATAAAAAGCTCAAAACCTACTTTATTCAATTGAATTATGAAGTAGATCACGTTAATAAATTCCGCTGCATCGATTGTAAGCATATTACTCATTGTCAATGTTACTCTCAATAGGATTTTCTTTTTATATATTACTATTAGATATCGAGGGCCATTGGGAAGAATACTATATTAAGTAATCAATGTAATCCCTCATTAAATAAAGTTTTATTATTATTATTATATCATATGAATACATGTAGCGCATCATGATTCTATACGTCATCAGGATCAAATCAAACTTTAACTTCCAGGTAAATCTTGTTTAATTTTAAAAATATCCAAGTCTATCATACTGTATGAATACATGTGTATTGTCTACGTTCGATGCCATCCTCGTACCCAGGGTCTTTTTGGAAAGTCCCTGCGGCGGAGGTTGGTTCGATGTGCGCATGTATGCGTATGACATAAATATAATTATACATGTGTACATAACAATTTCGCTTTCACTAAATCTATTTAATTAAAGTTTAGAAATAAAGAAATAAAGGTTAGAAATAAAGAATCAGCTTTAGCCTGCATTTCCAGTCCATTCCATAGGCGTACCGGGCGGGGATTTAGCCCCCAGTTTGTTGGGCAGTCGGGCAATATTCGATCAACAGTCGGGCAATTTTGGTTTACAATAAAAAAAAATGGGAGAAATTCTGTAAATTTTGTCTAAAATTAAGTAAATTTTGTGGCCAATTTTTTGTTTTTTGGAAAATTTGTGTTATGTTTCGAAAAATTTTGGTTGTCCGGAAATTTTTTTTACCCCTTTTGGCGGGGAGGTCGCCAAAATAATTTTTCTGGAAAAATTTTTTCGGTACTAGTCGGGCACAATCCCGAAAAGTCAGGCAATTTTCTTTCCGCCCCCCTAAATTTTTCCTTCCGGTACGCCCATGGTCCATTCCTTTGATTGTCTATGTCGATTAGTGTCTCTGAATTAATTTACCATGCATGATATTTTAATCACATACAGTAGTCTACAGAATATAGGTCCTGAGAGAATTGTAACCATGTTCCGTATCTACAAACAATCTGAAAGTAGCTAATGTTCAAAGAAAGCTATGGCACAACTTATTTAATCAACTATTATTATTATTATTATCAACATCTAAAATCCAACTATAGGTTGATGTTTATTAAATATTGTATAGCTCAGTTTAGAAGTCCCATATAACCACACACACAATCTCTCAATATTAACAATATCTTAGAACATAACAAGTTTTATTTGCGCGTATTTGTACTCTTACTGTACATAGACTGCCATGTGTGTAGACATAGAAGTCTCTTAGAATACGTTTTCAATACGCGTAAAAATGTATTATATATACATGTATATGGTGTAAATACATGTTGGTTTGGTCGCATTATATCTTGTGTATAATAATAGCGTTTGTGCAGCATGTATGTACAGTATACCTGTATCAGAACTAATACACAAATTATGATACGACAGGCCTTAAAATATCTTTTCCAGGGCTGTCTGACAAAATGTCCGGTGACGTTGAGTTTGGGTCGGACATATGGCCGATGACTTTCAATTCAGTTTTGACTCGGAAATAAGTCTGAATGACACAAATTAATAAACAGTAAATGTTGTAAATATATTAAATAATTTGTTTCTTTCATATTTATTTCCAAGCTAAAATTAACTTGCTTGCCAGAACAGCAATATTGACTTTGACAACTTAAGACCGTTTTCCACTTCACCATTTTGCTCGCCACCCCGCGCTCGACTACGTTAAAACAACATTTCCAGTACACCTTTTATTATACAATAATAGTACTCTGATTTTCCATTTAACATACAAGCCTCTAGTCCTGGGCTAGGGTACATTTTGATTTACGTCGGACAAAGCTACAGGTCGGTCGGACACCAATACACTCGGGTCGGACAAACAATAAACCTCAGTTTCACTTTGGTTTCCTCTCTACGTCGGACAATTTCACGAATGGGTCGGACAATGTCCGTGACCGACCCATATTTTAAGGCCTGTGATACGAGCCTATATGATATGCATATTTGCAGGGCGCTACATATACATGTGTTTATAGTGCCCTAATATTTGTTAGTAATGTGTATTCATATGATACGTGTATTCATATGATACACATATTCATATGATACGCATATTCATATGATACGTGTATCATGTGCATATGATACACATATCATATGTTAAGATATACGGGAGCGGTACTGTAGCTGTTGGCCATAACCCCTAGCTTAGTGGGCCTCGTAAATAGCCAGTTACAAAACACATTCATTTTTGCTTCATGTTTCCTGGATTTTCAATGTAAATTTGATGACTGACTTTCAACGTAAAATGTCTCAACACACAAAAGTGTAAATTTCAGGTTCATGAGAAAATATATTTACATTATACTATTTATATATAGCAGTGAGCCCAGTGGTTTTGTTTTCACAGGCAAGCCAGCCTGAAAAGTCTCATGTATTCAGCTCAGCAACGTGATCTAGCTCGGTTACCCAGCCGGCTTGCCACCAAAACGGAAGTTGGAAAGGCTCTTTCTGTTATTTTGACTGTAATCAATAAATTAGCATTTTCAAGCAAGGGCAAATTATGACACTAACCATTTATATAATCAAACATTGATATTTAATAATCAAAATTTGATGAGTATTCTTATTGCAACCAGTTGAAGAATAATCAATGTTGTTATAGCATTTAACATTCATAAATGTAGGTAATGCTATAAATATTAAAGTATGCCATTTATTCTGTGCAAAATTTTATAATTGATGTATGCTCGAGTGTATGCTGGGCATGGTAAATTATTTTGAAATCGACAACCTACCTTCCCCTTGACATCCAGTATATAAACAGCTGACATCGACATCTTGAACAACACGTTGAACTTTATTATATATTTCTATTTGGCAAAAAGATTTCTATTTGACAAAAAATTGAAGTAAAGTACTAAAGTCAAGTATATATCATGTAGAATTTCTGTTCAGGAAGCGCGCGGCCAAGCTCCCTAAAAGGACTAAAGAGAGGTAGTGTTTGGTGTTTCCATTACTGTAAGAAACTTCACTCCTTTTTCGAACTTTCGGGTTATCGTTAAGTTGTTATCGTTTCATTGTTTCGAGTATGCACCAATATAGGTTAGGGTGTGTAGTATGTATATAGAGGTATCCGGTTGACTTTGCAGTACACTATAATATCCATTACATAACGTTTACTATATTGGTGCGCGAAACATGGAACGATTACCAACTTTCGAAAGTGGTTCATTGAATCATTACCCTGGGTGCCAGAGGTTCTTCCACGCTCGCAGGGGAATAATGAGGTTTATTTTACAATACTAGACTCGCTAATTTTAATCTTTTGTTTTGTAATTTTAATCGCAATTTCCATCGCTCAAATGTTCGGTTGCACACGCCCAAATTATCATCAGTTAAAAATAAGTACGTGCACTATTGGCTAACGTTTGATTGACATGTGACAGTTAAAACAGTAAAAGCCATACACCTGTATTCTAAAATTAATTTAAAGCTCACTCACACTCACACCCACACTCACACTCACACTCAATGAGTGGAGGTTCAATATGAGCTTCCCTTGAGTGTGAATGCTGTTTTTGAATAGCTGTTTTTGAGTAGTCACATAGTAAGGTACGACACTAACCCTATCCCCTAACCCCAACCTCTAATCGCTAACCCTAAGCCTTCAGCTATTCAAAAACAGCAATGACACTCGAGAGAAGCTAAGATTGAACTTCCACTGATTGAGTGTGAGTGTGAGTGAGCTTTTAGAATACGGGCGTTAGAAGTGTTCCAGAGGTTCTTAATCCCGCTCGCCTCCCGCCCAGCTTGCGTCCTCGTGTATCCCTTATTATCCCCTACGAGCGTGGAAGAACCTCTGGCACCCAGGGTATTGCATCATTGGCAGTTTCTCAATTTCACTATTTGTATCACTGATCGCCCTGATCTATTTTTGTATTCACTCTAATAATGTAATATACTCACAGTGTAGTCAGGCCAGCTAAGTAGTCTAAAAAGGAATTCATAAGTTTATTAGGCTTGTTGTGCATTGCTTACGGAGTTTATACAGTAAGGTTGCATAAAGTAAAAACTTCTGTCACTAGATCTAAAAAGGAAGGTTAAAAATAGGTTATGGTTAATTCTTTTTTGTACAGATCTGTGTTTCTATAAGCGCAAATACGTCATCGTAATTTTTGGAATAAATTTCATGCTGCGAGTGGGAAGAGGGATTTTTATACTATAATATTACAAAATCTGGAATTAAGTTGGGCATGAGTACGGCCAGGATAATCGCCAAAATCATTCACGACCAGTTTGTGTTGGTGAGGTTTGGAAATCATTTTGTTGCCAATATACCTGGAACGATTCATGTTGGAGATGATATCACTGTCGTCGCTGTACGTTCTTCCTTAACCCATTCAGAGCCTGCAAGCACTCTCCCCTCTACGAGTAAAATCGTCTAACGTTAGACAAAGTATTAAGCAACTCATGATCAATGGGTTAACCAACCACGAGTTATTATAAATTGACTTTATTTTGCCGTGACTTTTTATTTTGCCCTGAGTTAATTTCATATTCCGGTGAGTTAACTTTATTTTCCCGTGAGTTAATTTTATTTTGCCGTGGCTTAGTTTGAGGCCGTTTTCCACTAGGCGGAAATTTCCGCGCCTTTATTACACAAACTCTTCCAAGCCTGGTGGGATTAACGGATTACTAGTTTAGCCAATCAGATTACGATCTTTTTTGGATCGTGATCTGATTGGTTAAAATGACCAGAGTGTAGACGGGTACCTACAAAATGGCGAAATTGCTGGTATCCTGCACAGATATATATAACTATGGACACTAGCTATTGGTATCCTCGCGTGAAACTTAAACTTTAGAACTTAAAATAGTTTAATTTAAGTTTTTAATCTTGTTTCTAAATTTGATATGACATAAAAAAGTAGTAAAGATACACTTTCAGATTTTTATAAGTTAGATAAAAAGCACGAAACACACTGCTAACTTTTTTAGTCGCAATTCAATTGATCGGTAAATTACAAGATCTGTTTTATATCGAATGGTAAATTAGAAATAAAATTTTTAAAAAGAAAAGTGCCCCATCAGTCCATACTTCTCGACTCTGCTAACCCGTATCGGTCAAGTCCGTCTCGTGCTAGCCGCTAGAACGCCGTATGTTAACGTTTAAGCTAGATTTCGGCTATAAAACTCAACGCTGTCGTCAGAGGCGGTGAATAGGTGGCTTACCAACCGGTATCGAACGAACGACGGGGGAGAGTGCCGGCGCCCCCAGACCATTATGCCTGGCACCCTTTTCGCAAGACCCTATGATCGGTAACTACCACACACAAGTAATAGTAACAGTTCCGTATATATGTACGTTACAGTTGCCTGGTGTGGTGCATGTGGGACGTTTTAGCTCGGTATTTACCAAACCTTTGAAACGAACGCACGCGCGATAACTTGACACTCGGGTAAACGTAGCGCATGCGTGGGCATTGTCCAATGAGGACACAGGAAAATTTCGCACTGGTCCCGCGAGTTCGAGACATGTGCGAGACGGCTCAAAAATTTCAAAAAATTATTTGTTTTCAAATTATTCAAAACAAATTCAGTGAAAATCTATATTATTCACACAGTATTTGCCTGTCGAAGGTTGAAATTTTTCAGAGTAGTCTAGCCGAGCTACGATGCATCGACTGGAAAAGATGAAGAAGGCGAAGAGAAATCTACATCGTCATTAACCAAGAGGTCCGCACCGCCATTGGTTTCTAGTACTTTAATACACGAAAGGTACAAAGCATGCATTAATTTGTACTGTTTTGTTTTCTTTTTTGACGATAGATGATGCGAAAATATTCTAAGTTGTCTAGAGCTTGCTTCAAAAGAGGAAAGTTCTTTGTTTGGCATGGCTTTATTAGTGCTTGTATTTATGAATCCTATATTTAATAATTATTAGCTTCCTTTATAACCTGGATATAAAGTTTTTAAAATCTTGCACATAGTGTGTATTCTTGCATACAGAATACACCCTTCTGGAAGTATCTTACTTTGACCATAAAGCCTAACTGTCAATCACGAAAAGGATGGCCACGTTTGAACCATTCAACCATGTTTATATTGTCTTGAATAGGCCCTAAACTTCTTTGGAGGAGACCTTTTTTAGATTGAAAGTATTAGTATCACTTGCCGGTAGACTCTCAATGAAGTTTAATATCTCATCCATGGATGCAGCATTCGTGTCAAGTGTTCTCTTAATTAGCATTTGTGGCGAAGTGGGCATTACGTTTTTCTATGATCCGCCATACTTCCTTCGATTTTGTTGATGATAGCGCTTTTTCATGAAAGCTTCACGGGCTTTTCGAATCACGGCCTTAAGTTTGTTCCTTACTTCGCGGAATTTACTCCAGGTGGTTTCCGACCTATCTTTGTTGTGTGCTTCGTGTCTTAACCTATTTCTTACTGACTGAAGCTTGCGTATGTCCCCATCTTCCTTCCATCCTAATCCTTATGTATATGTATATATATATATATATATATATATATATATATATATATATATATATATATATATATATATATATATATATATATATATATATATATCAGATAAGGCAGATGAAATCTCGATCGTTTCGGCGTATTTCGGCCTACCACAATGCACTGCTTCCGGGCCGGCAGGCTATTCTTGCCTAATAAACAGGCATAAGGCAAACAAGCAATGTGATCATCTTTCATCCCTGGGTTTCTTTTATGGAAAGCCATAGCTGGCGTAAGTGATCAAACGGCATTTTGTCGATACTTTTACTCAAATATATAGCTTTTTGAATAAACATGCGCTTCTGTCTAAATTTCAATCCGGGTTTAGACCAAAACATGGAACCTTAGGTGCTCTTATACAAATGTGTGATCAATGGCTTCAAGACATGGATGAAGGCAAAATAAATGGAGTTGTTTTTCTTGATATATGTAAAGCATTTGACTCGGTGAATCACGAGATATTATTGGAGAAGCTTAAAACCCAGTTTGGAATTCACGACATTGAATTAAAATGGTTCCAATCATACTTAAGGAATAGAAAGCAAGTGTGTTCTGTTAATGATCAAACTTCTTCTGCAAGAACAATAATATGCGGAATTCCGCAAGGATCCATACTTGGTCCATTATTGTTTTTGCTATATATTAATGATATGCCTGATATTCTAGAAAGGACAACCCCATGTTTTTATGCCGACGACACTCAGATATCTTCCTCTTCGCATGATTACGATACATTGATTGACAATTTGAATATGGACCTTTCCAGTATTCATAAATGGCTTGCTAAAAACAAACTAAAATATCATAGGAAAAAAACAAAAGTCATGTTTATTGGATCTACGCATAATCTAAATCATAAAATAGGAAATAGAGCCGTTGAGATTAACAAAATCCCAGTCCCACAAACCAATACATTTAAATGTCTAGGTGTAAATCTAGAGGAAAAATTAAGTTGGGAGAAACATATTGATTCTGTATGCCATAAGATTAGCGCTGGAATAGGAGCAATTAAAAGAATAAAACCTTATGTTCCACACAAAACCTTACATGATGTCTACAAAACATTAATTCAGCCTCATTTTGATTACTGTTCTCCCCTGTGGGATAACTGTGGTTTGAGACTTCAAGACAAATTGCAAAAATTCCAAAATCGAGCAGCAAGGGTGATTACCGGAGCTGACTACGATGTAAGATCGTCTGAAGTCCTAAACAAATTAGGCTGGGAAACCCTGGCTAGGAGACGAGAACAAAACAAGCTAGTATTGATGTATAAAGTCTTGGGGAACCACACTGCGCCAAACCTTAAAGATCTTTTTTCTCGGAGAAATGCATCGCAGAATATTTATGATTTACGCAATAGCGAAACTGATCTCTCGTTAAAAAAACCGAAAACGGAATTTCTAAAGAAAACATTTGGATACAGTGGAGCAATTCTATGGAATAGTCTGCCGCAAGATGTCAAGGCGGCTGAGTCAATTACGTCATTTAAAACAATGGCTAAATTGCATTTAAGCAGATGATAAGCTAATTTCTCCAGGACCAAATGATGGGAGGACAATATAGATTGTGGGCGGGAGGGGGGTTAGTTTTGCGTGAGGGTGGGTGGGTACTTGTTTAGGGGGTGGAGGTTTGGGAGAAAGATGATAATATTTTAGGGTGGGATTCTTACATATTTTGTTCTATATATAATTAACATTTAGCTCTTTGTGTGTATACGCCCTTCGTGGAAACCAGTTGTAAATAATTGTCGAGGTTAGCGTATTGAAATAAAGTTTTACATTACATTACACAACAATTTGAAATTTGCCATTTTAAAGAACTGTCTGGTATCTCTAGTTCAGGATTCCATCAATTATAGTTAAAGATTCGGCAGCACAGGAAGCTTAGAGCAATTCTTGTGTGCGTGGTCTATCGACCTCCTGATTGCCCTACAGTATGTTTGCATGGTAGATGACTTCACTGAAATTTATCTAAAGGCTTTAACTTATGGTAAAGAATTGAACTCTTCGTGCTAGGCGATTTAAATTGTAATATGTTGAAAGTCAAAACCGAATCCAAAGCTTTAAAAGATCTTTGTTTATGTTTAAATTTATTCCAATTACTTATTACTTCACCAACAAGGGTAACCGCTGAGGACAAGCTTCCTCACGCTGAGGACAAGGTACCTCACGCTGAGGACAAGGTTCATCACGCAGAGGACAAGGTTCATCACGCTGAGGACAAGGTTCCTGACGCTGAGGACAAGGTTCCTCACGCTGAGGACAAGGTTCCTCACGCGGAGGACAAGGTTCCTTAAGCTGAGAACAAGGTTCTTCACGCTGAGGACAAAGTTTCTCAAGCTGCGGACAAGGTTCTTCACCCTGAGGACAAGTTCCTTGACGCTGAGGACAAGGTTCTTGACGCTGAGGACAAGGTTTCTCACCCTGAGGACAAGGTTCCTCACGCTAAGCACAAGGTTCCTCACGGTGAGGACAAGGTTCCTCACGCTCAGCAGGATGTTCCTCACGCTGAGAACAAGGTTCTACACGCTGACGATAAGGTTCCCCACACTGAGGACAAGGTTCCTCACGCTGAGGAGGAGGTTCCTCAAGCTGAGACAAGGTTCGTCACGCTGAGGACTAGGTTCTTCACGCTGAGGACAAGGTTCTTCACCCTGAGGACAAGGTTCCTCACGCTGAGTACAAGGTTCTTCACGCTGAGGTCAAGGCTCTTCAACTTAGAACAAGGTTCGTCACGCTGAGGACAAGGTTCCTCACGCTGAGGTCAAGGTTCCTCATGCCGAGGACAAGGTTCTTCACGGGGACGACAAGGTTCTTCACACCGAGGACAAGGTTCCCCACGCTGAGGACAATGTTCCTCACGCTGAGAACAAGGTTCCTGATTCTGAGGACAAGGTTCCTCACGCTGAGGACAAGGTTCTTCACGCTGAGAACAAGGAACTTCGGGCTGAGAGCAAGGTTCCTCACGCTGAGGACCAGGTTCCCACGCTTAGGACAAGGTTCTTGACGCTGAGGACAAGGTTCTTCACGCTGAGGACAAGGTTCTTCACGCTGAGGACAAGGTTCCTCACGCGGAGCACAAGGTTCTTCACGCTGAGGACAAGGTTCTTCACGCTGAGGACAAGGTTCTTCACGCTGAGGACAAGGTTCTTCACGCTGAGGACAAGGATCTTCACGCTGAGAACAAGGTTCCTTGTGCTGAGGACAAGGTTCCTCACGCTGAGGACAAGGTTCCTCACGCTGAGGAGAAGAATCGTCACGCTGAGGACAAGGTTCTTCACGCCGAGGACAAGGTTCCTCACGCTGATGACAAGTTTCTTCAACTTAGAACAAGGTTCCTCAAGCGGAGGAGAAGGATCTTTACGCCGAGGGCAAGGTTCCTCAGGCTGAGGGCAAGATCCTTCTAGCTGAGGACAAGGCTCCGCACGCTGAGGACAAGGTACCTCACGCTGAGGACAAGGTTCTTCACGCTGAGAACAAGGTTCCTTGTGCTGAGGACAAGGTTCCTCACACTGGGGACAAGGTTCCCACGCTGAGGACAAGGTGCTTAACGCTGAGGAGAAGGTTCTTCACGCTGAGGACAAGGTTCTTCACGCTGATGACAAGGTTCTTCACAAGGCAGACAAGGTTCTTCACGCTGAGGAGAAGGTTCCTCTCGCTGAGAACAAGGTTCCTCACGCTGAGAACAAGGTTCTTCACGCCTGGGACTATGTTCCTCACGCTGAGAACAAGGTTCCTCACGCGGAGAACAAGGTTCCTCATGCTGAGGACAACGTTCGTCATGCTTAGGACAAGGTTCCTCACGCTGAAGACAAGGTTGCTCACGCTGAGGACAAGGTTCGTCAAGCTGAGATCAAGGTTCCTCACGCTGAGGACAAGGTTCGTCAGGCTGAGGATATGGTTCCTCACGCTGAGAATAATGTTCTTCACGCTGAGGACAAGGTTCATCACGCCGGGGACAAGGTCCTCGCGCCGAGGACAAGGTTTCTCACGCTGAGGACAAGGTTGCTCACGCTGAGGACAAGGTTCCTCAGGCTGAGGACAAGGTTCTCGAAGCCGGCGACGATGTTTCTCACGCTGAGAACAAGGTTCCTCACGCGGAGGACAAGGTTCCTCACTCTGAGGGCAAGGTTACTAACGCAGAGGACAAGGTTCTTCACGTTGACGACGAGGTTCCTCATGCTGAGGACAAGGTTCTTCACGCCGCGGACAAGATTCCTCACGCTTAGAACAAGGTTCCCCATGCGCAGGAGAAGGTTCCTCACGCTGAGGGCAAGGTTACTTACGCTGAGGACAAGGTTCTTTTTTTTTAATAATAATGGTATTTTAATAACACATCATCGCATGAAAATGAATTACAATGTGTTTTACAATTGATTTGAATGGGAATTACAATACTAAAAGTAACTATATTACAATGTATCATTAGATTATTAAATAAGAACTTATAACTAAGAACAATTATTTGTTCTATCAGTTCTACATTTAAAAGAAGCGAATTGTTTAAAATTCCTTAAATTATACAGATGTTCGTTTTCACTGGTGAGAGTTAGATGGGAAGAAAGACGACTGCCAATGCAATATTTTTTATCGTCTTTTCGCAAAGTTCTCCTCGACGTATATCCATGCAACCTAGGACACTGCAACATTTCTTGCGCTTCACCGTAGGATCGACCTGGCAGTATAATCCTCAATGCACGTTTTTGAATTTTCTCGACTTGTTCAGACAGATACATAGGTAGACCACAATGCCATACTGTACAACAATATTCTAATGTAGATCTAATCAGTCCATAATAAATTGTGATAAGGTCGTGCGGTGGAATCCCTCCCCGTCGTAGGACACGTAGGATATGCAGTCGCTTGGATGCTTTGGTAACAATCATCGAAATATGTTCGTTCCACTTAAGGTCATCCTGGATAATCAATCCAAGAACCTTGTGCGACGATACACATTCTAAGATCTGGTCTTCAACACAGAAGTGTGGTAGTTCAGGTTTGTTCCGAAAGAAACAAATTTGCATCTCTTTGCATTTCTTTGCGTTCAATTTCATCAGGTTATTAGATGCCCATGTAGCTACTTCGTACCTTGGGGGACACCGGCTGTGACAGGAAGCCAACAAGAAACAGCTTCCGCAAGTTTGACCCGCTGTCTTCGCCCTGATAGAAAGTTTACGATCCATGGTATTAACGATCGCCTAACGCCAATATCAACAAGTTTTTGGATAAGAATGTTATGGCCAATACGGTCGAAGGCCTTTGAAAAATCCAAAAAGCATATGCGAAGAAAATGACCAGTTGAATCCAAATGGGAAAGCCAACAATGCAACATGTCGAGCAAGCAATAGGTCGTGGATGAACCCTTTAAAGAACCGAACTGTTGTGCGTCAATATTATTCCTAACGTCAGAGATCATCCATCTAACGACAAAATCTTCGAGAACTTTAGAAAGGCATGGCGTTAGTGAAATGGGTCTTGTGTCACCCTCGTCAGTTGGTTGTTTAACTTTTGGAATGGGAGTAATATGTGAGACTTTCCATATATTTGGAACAATCCCGGACGCAACTGACATCTTGAAGATTTTCGCAACTGGTTCAGCGAAAAAGTGCGCAAATTCCTTCAAAAGGCGACCTGGAATATTATCAGGACCACATGTTTTGGAGGCATTAACAACCAATAATTTCTCACAGACTTCGTGCGGTTCGATGTAAGGCACTTGATCAACAGCAGGTAAGTATGCTGGTAACGTGCTTATATCTAGTGGTGAAATGTCGGCGTTAACCGAGATGTAAAACTTGTTCAAGTTATTGGCCAGTTCTTCACGCAGAGGACAAGGTTACTCACGCTGAGGACAAAGTTGCTCACACTGAGGACAAGGTTCCTCACGCTGAGAACAATGTTCCTCATCCTGAGGACAAGGTTCCTCACGCTGAGGACAAGGTTCCTCACGCTGAGGAGACGGTTCCTCAAGCTAAAAACAAGGTTCCTCACGCTGAAGACAAGGTTCCTCACGCTGAGATCAAGGTTCCTCACGCTGAGGACAAGGTTCTTCACGCCGAGGACAAGGTTCCTCACGCTGAGGACAAGGTTCCTCACGCTGAGGACAAGGTTCCTCAGGCTGAGGACAAGGTTCTTCACGCCGGCGACAATGTTTCTCACGCTGAGAACAAGGTTCCTCACGCGGAAGAGAAGGTTCCTCACTCTGAGGGCAAGGTTACTAACGCAGAGGACAAGGTACTTCACGCTGAGGACAAGGTTCTTCACGTTGAGGACAAGGTTCCTCATGCTGAGGACAAGGTTCTTCACGCCGCGGACAAGGTTCCTCACGCTTTGAACAAGGTTCCTCAAGCGCAGGACAAGGTTCCTCACGCTGAGGGCAACGTTACTCACGCTGAGCACAAGGTTCTTCACGCTGAGAACAAGGTTCTTCACGCTGAGGACAAGGTTCTTCACGCTGAGGAGAAGGTTCTTCACGCTGAGGAAAAGGATCTTCCCGCAGAGAACAAGGTTCCTTGTACTGAGGACAAGGTTCCTCACGCTGAGGACAAGGTTCCTCACGCTGAGGAGAAGAATCGTCACGCTGAGGACAAGGTTCTTCACGCCGAGGACAAGGTTCCTCACGCTGATGACAAGGTTCTTCAACTTAGAACAAGGTTCCTCACGCGGAGGAGAAGGTTCTTTACGCCGAGGAGAAGGTTCCTCAGGCTGAGGACAAGATTCTTCTAGCTGAGGACAAGGTTCCTCACGCTGAGGACAAGGAACCTCACGCTGAGGACATGGTTCATCACGCTGAGAACAAGGTTCCTTGTGCTGAGGACAAGGTTCCTCACGCTGAGGACAAGGATCCCACGCTGAGGACAAGGTCTACGCTGAGAAAGGTTCTCAGCTGAGGACAAGGTTCTTCACGCGAGGACAAGGTTCTCACGGACAAGGTTCTCACGCTGAGGACAGGTTCCTCCGCTGAGACAAGGTTCCTCAGGCTGAGAACAAGGTTCTTCACGCCTGGGACTATGTTCCTCACGCTGAGAAGAAGGTTCCTCACGCGGAGAACAAGGTTCCTCATGCTGAGGACAACGTTCGTCATGCTTAGGACAAGGTTCTAAACGCTGAAGACAATATTGCTCACGCTGAGGACAAGGTTCGTCAAGCTGAGATCGAGGTTCCTCACGCTGAGGACAAGGTTCGTCAGGCTGAGGATATGGTTCCTCACGCAGAGAATAATGTTCTTCACGCTGAGGACAAGGTTCATCACGCCGGGGACAAGGTTCCTCACGCCGAGGACAAGGTTTCTCAAGCTGAGGACAAGGTTCCTCACGCTGAGGACAAGGCTCGTCAGGCTGAGGACAAGGTTCTTGAAGCCGGCGACGATGTCTCTCACGCTGAGAACAAGGTCCCTCACGCTGAGGACAGGGTTCTTCACGCTGAGGAGAAGATCCCTCACGCTGAGGACAAGGTACCTCACGCTGAGGACAAGGTTCTTCACGCTGAGGACAAGGATATTCCCGCTGAAAACAAGGTTTTCAACTTATAACATGGTTCCTCACGCTGACGACAAGGTTCCTCACGCAGAGGACAAGGTTCTTCATGCTGAGGACCAGGTTCCTCAACTTAGACCAAGGTTCCTCACGCTGAGGACATGGTTTCTCACGCTGAGGACAAGGTTGCTCATACTGAAGAAAAGGTACCTCACGCTCAGGAAAAGTTCCTCACGCTAAGAAAGAGGTTCCGCATGCTGAGAGCAAGGTTCCTCACGGTGAGGGCAAGGTTCCCACGCTGAGGACAAGGTTCTTCACGCTGAGGACAAGGTTCCTCAACTTATAACCCGGTTCCTCACGCGGAGAACAAGGTTCTTCACGCTGAGGACAAGGTCCCTCACGCTGAGGACCAGGTTCCTCAACTTAGAACAAGATTCCTCACGCTGAGGACATGATTCTTCACGCTGAGGAAAAGATCCCTCACGCTGACGACAAGGTTCCTCACGCTGAGGACAAGGTTCTTCACGCTGAGGACAAGGATATTCCCGCTGAGAACAAGGTTCCTCAACTTATACCATGGTTCCTCACGCTGAGGACAAGGTTCCTCACGCTGAGGACAAGGTTCTTCATGCTGAGGACCAGGTTCCTCAACTTAGACCAAGGTTCCTCATGCTGAGGACATGGTTTCTCACGCTGAGGACAAGGTTGCTCGTACTGAAGACAAGGTACCTCACGCTAAGGAAAAGTTCCTCACGCTGAGAAACAGGTTCCGCATGCTGAGAGGAAGTTTCCTCACGGTGAGGGCAAGGTTTCCACGCTGAGGACAAGGTTCTTCACCCTGAGGACAAGGTTCTTCACCCTGATAACAAGGTTCTTCACGCTGAAAATAAGGTTCTTCACGATGAGGACAAGGTTCTTCCGCTGAGGACAAGGTTCTTCACGCTGAAGACAAAGCTCCTCACGCTGAGGACAGGGTTCTTCACGCTGTGAACAAGGTACTTCACGCCGAGGACAAGTTTCCTCACGCTGAGGACAAGGTTCTTCACGCTGAGGACAAGGTTCTTCACGCTGAGGGCAAGGCTATTCCCGCTGAGAACAGGGTTCGTCAACTTAGAACCAGGTTCTTTACTCTGAGGACAAGGTTCCTCACGCTGAGGTCAAGGTTCCTCACGCTGAGGACAGGGATCTTCACGCTGAGGACAAGGTCCTTCACCCAGAAGACAAGGGTCCTCACGCTGATGACAAGGTTCCTCACGCTAAGGACAAGGTTCTTCACGCTGAGAACAAGGTTCTTCAAGCCAAGGACAAGGTTCGTCAAGGTGAGGACAAGGTTCTTCACGCATAGGACAAGGTTCTTCACGCTGAGGACAAGGTTGTTCACGCTGAGGACAAGGCTCCTCACGCTGCGGACAAGGATCTTCACGCTGAGGACAAGGTTGCTCAACTTAGAACAAGGTTCCTCACGATGAGGACAAGGTTCTTCAAGCTGAGGACAAGGTTTCTTACACTCAGGACAAGGTACCTCACGCTAAGGAAAAGTTCCTCACGCTGAGAACAAGGTTCAGCATTCTGAGAACAAGGTTCCTCACGGTGAGGACATGGTTCCCACGCTGAGGACAAGGAACGGAAGATTCTTCATGCCGAGAACAAGGTTTCTCACGCTGAGTACAAGGTTCTTCACGCTGAGGACAAGGTTCTTCACGCCGTGGATAAGGTTCGTCACGTTGAGGACAACGTTCTTCACGCTGAGGACAAGGTTCTTCACTCTGAAGACAAGGCTCCTCACGCTGAGGACAGGGTTCTTCACGCTGAGAACAAGGTTCTTCACGCCGAGAACAAGGTTGCTCACGTTGAGGACAAGGTTCCTCACGCTGAGGGCAAGATTCTGCACGCTGAGGACTAGGATATTCCCGCTGAAAACAAGGTTCCTCAACTTATAACATGGTTCCTAACGCTGAGGACATTGTTCCTCACGCTGAGGACAAGGTCCCTCACGCTGGGGACAGGGTTCTTCACGCTGAGGACAAGATTCTTCATGCCGAGGACAAGGTTACTCACGCTGAGTACAAGGTTCTTCACGCTGGGGACAAGGTTCTTCACCCAGAAGACCAGGTTCCTCACGCTGAGGAGAAGGTTCTTCACGCTGAGGACAAGGATCTTCACGCTGAGAACAAGGTTTCTCACGCTGAGGACAAGGTTCCCACGCTGAGGAGAAGGTTCTTCACGCTGGGGACAAGGTTCTTCACGCTGAGGACAAGGTTCTTCACCTTAGAACAAGATTCCTCACGCTGAGGACAAGGTTCCTGATGCTGAGAACAAGGTTCTTCACCTGGACGACAAGGTTCTTCACGCCGAAGACAAGGTTCCTCACGCTGAGGACAAGGTTCTTCAAGCTGAGGACAAGGTTCCTCAGGCTGAGGACAAGGTTCCTCATGCTGAGGACAAGGTAGATCAATCTTTTCCAAATAATTTAGTTTCCATACCTGGCTATAATATAGAAAGAAGGGATAGAAATAGAAATGGGGGAGGCATTGCATTTTATATAAGAGATGTTATTAATTATGGGCTTATGCATGAATTAGCTCAAGATCCACTTGAGTGGCTATGTATCAAGGTCCAAAAACCTAAGTCCAAACCATTCATCGTTGGTACTTGGTACAGACCCCCTTCTTCAACCACTGACATTATGAACAACCTCGAATTATTAATTAAGAAGTTAGAAGTACTGGATATTGAAATTAATATTATAGGTGATTTTAGCTTTGATTTAGGTGCTTCTCCCCCTAATGCACCTACTAAACATTTCTTGGATCTCTGCTACTTTTTCCAGTACCATCAACTTATTAAAGATCCTGCTCGAATAACCGAACGCTCTTCAACTACAATTGATTTATTTATTGCAAATAATCCAACAATGTATGTGAAATCTGGAGTTTGCGACATTGGTATTAGTGACCATTCACTTGTATATGCAATTCGTAAACTTTGTGTACCTAGAAAGGATCCTAGAATAAATCGCAGCAGGCAATTTAGAAATTTCAACGCAAATTCATTTAGATATGACCTCAGCTTAGCCCCGTGGCATATCATTGAGCAGTACCAAAATGATCCAAATCTTGCTTGGAATGCTTGGAAAACTATATTCCAGAAAATATCTGATATTCATGCACCCAAACGGAGTAGAAAAATTCCAAATAAGCACTCTCCTTGGTTAAGCCCAGAACTTAAGAAATTGATGTTTGAGAGGGACCTACTGAAAAGAATAGCAAGTAAACATGATACTGAACATAACTGGTCCAAGTATAGAAGTGCACGAAATAATGTTAACAGATGTATACAAGATGCGAAAGTTGCATATTATCACAATTACTTCAGAAATAGCTTTGGTGATATTAAAAACACATGGAAAGGTGTGAATGAGCTTATGGGTAAAAATTCCCATACCAATGTAATAAGCAGCATTAAAGTTGGTGACTGTAAGTACACTTCTTCAAGTGACATAAGTAATGCTTTTAATAACCACTTTACTCAAATTGGACCTAAATTAGTTAATAATGTTCCCACGTCAAACCCTAACTTTGAGCAATATATTACCACTACCGATAATAATTTTTCTGTCACTGAGACAAATAATACAATTGGGTACAACTTGATTCAATCACTTCCTGTAAATAAATCTACTGGTTTAGATGAGATATCATGAAAGCTATTAAAAGAAGCTTCGCCAATTGTTTTTTCATCCTAACCCATATAATAAACTTACCACAAGAAATGGGGTATTTCCCAAAGATTGGAAACGAGCTAGGGTAATGCCAATATATAAAGAAGACACAAAATCAGATCCTGATAATTATAGACCTATATCTATCTTACCGATTGTCAGTAAAATAATTGAAACTATCGTTTTCTCTCAGTTTTATGAATACCTAATCGATAATAATCTATTGTCTAGTTCCCAACATGGATTTAGTCCCTTTACATTCAACACTTACGACTTTTCTAATATCTGCGAACAATTGGTACCAAAATATTGATAAAGGGCTATTTAATGGCATTCTATTACTAGACTTAAAAAAAGCCTTTGATACCGTGAACCATCCAATTTTATTAAAGAAGCTTGAGATGTATGGCGTAGATCCTAATTCTATCAATTGGTTTAGATCATATCTAACAGGTCGCAAAGAATGCACAAGCATTAATGGCACATTGTCTAGCTTGCTACCTGTTACTTGTGGCGTTCCTCAAGGATCGGTTCTTGGGCCCTTATTGTTTCTAATTCATATTAATGATCTTCAAGCCTGCCTCTCTACATCGTCCCTTATGATGTATGCTGATGATACATGTTTAACTGTTAGTTCTAACGATCCAAAAGACCTAGAGCTTAAACTAAATAACGAAATTAGAAAAGTGCAAACGTGGCTAAGGGCTAATAAGCTTACTCTGAATGTAAAGAAGACAAAAGTCTTAATCCTAGGAAGCAAGCGAGATTAAGTAACCTGAATTATCGCTTTAACATTCAAATTAATGGACATTTTATTGAAAGAATGTATTATTATAGATACTTGGGACTTGAAATTGATGAATCTTTAAATTGCCAAGTACATATTGAAACCATTTGTAAGAAGATAAGTGCAAGTCTTGGGGCGTTAAAGCGGATTCGAACTTTTGTACGACAAAACACATTGATCCTGATGTATGAAGCCTTAGTGTTACCTTACGCAGACTATTGTAGTGAGGTTTCGGGCTGCCTAGGTAAAACCCTCTCTGAAAAACTCCAAAAACTGCAAAACAGAGCCGGTAGGATAATAACCTTCTCCGATTATGTCGTAAGATCAGCTGATATACTACACAGTCTTGGTTGGGAAACTCTTGACCAACGTCGTGCTAAACAGCTCGCAACAAGTATTTATAAAGCAGTGAATAATTTATATCCCAACGAGCTTAATATTATTTTTGAACCTACCTCGCAAGTCCACTCTCACAATCTTAGAGGTAGTTCGCACAGTATGTTCACCCCTAGACCCAGAACGGAGGCTGGTAAAAGGAGCTTCGGCTACCGTGGGTCTGTGTTAAGGAACGATCTTCCGGATGAAATAAGAAGTCAGGCTTCAATATATCTTTTCAAAAATAAACTTTCTAACTCTCAAATTTAATACTAAGATTAAGTAGTTGTAAATATGATAGGAATGTATATATATTTAATTAATTTCTTTTGTTTTCGTATTTTTACATGGCTCCTTGGAAGAGCACTTTAGTGAAAGGACACCATGTTACCCCTTTATGTATTTTTTAATAAAGCTTCATTGAAGGTTCCTCATGCTGAGGACAAGGTTCTTCCCGCAGAAGAAAAGGTTCTTCACGCCGAAGACAAGGTTCCTCACGCTGAGGACAAGGTTCTTCACGCTGACGACAAGGATCTTCACCATGAGGACAAGGTTCTCACGCTGAGGACAAGGTTCTCACGCTGAGGAGAAGGTTCTTCACGCTGAGGACAAGGTTCTTCACCCTGAGGACAAGGTTCTTCACGCTGAGGACAAGGTTCTTCACGCTGAGGAGAACGTTCTTCACGATGAGGACAAGGTTCTTCACCATGAGGACAAGGTTCTTCACGCTGAGGAAAAGGTTCTTCACGCTGAAAACAAGGTTCGTCACCTTAGAACAAGATTCCTCACGCTGAGGAGAAGGTTCCTCACGCTGAGGACAAGGTTCCTGATTCTGAGACAAGGGTTCTTCACGTGGACGACAAGGTTCTTCACGCCGAGGACAAGGTTCTCACGCTGACGAGAAAGTTCTTCAAGCTGAGGACAAGGTTCCTCACACTGAGGACAAGGTTCCTCATGCTGAGGACAAGGTTGCTCATGCTGAGAACAAGGTTCCTCACGCTGAGGACAAGGTTCCTCACGCTGAGCACAAGGTTCTTCACGCTGAGGACAAAGTTTTTCTGAAAACCTTTGAACAACATTCATCACGCTGAGGACAAGGTTCCTGATGCTGAGAACAAGGTTCTTCACGTCGACACAAGGTCCGTCAGGCTGAGGACAAGGTTCTTCAAGCTGAGGATAAGGTTCCTAACGCTCAGGACAAGGTTCCTCACGCTGAGGATAAGGTTCCTCACGCTGAGGACAAGGTTCCTAACGCGGCGGACAAGGTTCTTCTCGTTCAGGACAAGGTTCCTCAAATTAGAACAAGGTTCCTCAAGCTGAGGACAAGGTTCCTCACGCTGAGGACAAGGTTCCTCACGCTGAGGAGAAGGTTCTTCACGCTGAGGACAAGGTTCTTCACCATGAGGACAATGTTCTTCACGCTGAGGAGAAGGTTCTTCACGCTGAGGACAAGGTTCTTCACCTTAGAACAAGATTCCTTACGCTGAGGACAAGGTTCCTTTCGCTGAGGACAAGGTTCCTGATGCTGAGAACAAGGTTCTTCACGTGGACGAAAAGGTTCTTCACGCCGAGGACAAGGTTCCTCACGCTGAGGACAAAGTACTTCAAGCTGAGGACAAGGTTCCTCACGCTGAGGACAAGGTTCAGGACAAGGTTCCTCACGCTGAGGACAAGGTTCCTCACGCGAACGACAAGGTTCTTCACGCTGAGGACAAGGTTCTTCACCTTAGAACAAGATTCATCACGCTGAGGACAAGGTTCCTCACGCTGAGGACAAGGTTCTTGATGCTGAGAACAAGGTTCTTCACGTGGACGACAAGGTTCGTCACTCTGAGGAAAAGGTTCTTCAAGCTGAGGACAAGGTTCCTCACGGTCAGGACAAGGTTCCTCACGCTCAGGACAAGGTTCCTCACGCTGAGGATAAGGTTCCTCACGCTGAGGACAAGGTTCCTAACGCGGCGGACAAGGTTCTTCTCGTTCAGCACAAGGTTCCTTAAATTAGAACAAGGTTCCTCAAGCTGAGGACAAGGTTCCTCACGCTGAGGACAAGGTTCCTCACGCTGAGGAGACGGTTCTTCACGCTGAGGACAAGGTTCTTCACCATGAGGACAAAGTTCTTCACGCTGAGGAGAAGGTTCTTCACGCTGACGACAAGGTTCTTCACCTTAGAACAAGATTCCTTACGTTGAGGACATGGTTCCTTACGCTGAGGACAAGGTTCCTGATGCTGAGACCAAGGTTCTTCACGTGGACGAAAAGGTTCTTCACGCCGAGGACAAGGTTCCTCACGCTGAGGACAAAGTACTTCAAGCTGAGGACAAGGTTCCTCACGCTGAGGACAAGGTTCCTTACGCTAACGACAAGGTTCTTCACCTTAGAACAAGATTCATCACGCTGAGGACAAGGTTCCTCACGCTGAGGACAAGGTTCTTGATGCTGAGAACAAGGTTGTTCACGTGGACGACAAGGTTCGTCACGCTGAGGAAAAGGTTCTTCAAGCTGAGGACAAGGTTCCTCATGCTGAGGACAAGGTTCCTCACGCTCAGGACAAGGTTCCTCACCTTGAGGACAAGGTTCTTCACGCTGAGGACAATGTTCTTCTCGCTGAGGACAAGGTTCCCACGCTGAGGACAAGGTTCATCACGCGGGGGACAAGGTTCTTCACGCTGAGGACAAGGTTCCTCCAATTAGAACAATTTTACTAAGCTGAGGACAAGGTTACTCATGCTGAGGACAAGGTTCTTCACGCTGAGGGCAAGGATCTTCACGCTGAGGACAAGGTTCTTCACGCCGAGACAAGGTTCCTCACGCTGAGGACAAGTTCTTCACGCTGAGGACAAGGTTCTTCACGCCGAGAACAAGGTTCTTCACGCCGAGGACAAGGTTCCTCCAGCTGAGGACAAGGTTCTTCACGCATAGGACAAGCTTCTTCACGCGGAGGACAAGGTTCCCACGCTGAGAACAAAGTTCTTCACGCTGAGGAAAAGGTTGCTCAACTTAGAACAGTGTTCCTCACGCTGAGGACAAGGTATCTCACGCTGAGGACAAGGTTCTCCACGCTGAGGACAACGTTCTTCACGCTGAGGGCAAGGTACTTCATGCCGAGGCAAGGTTCCTCATGCTAAGGACACGGTTCTTCAAGCTGAGGACAATGTTCCTCACACTCTGTACAAGGTACCTCACGCTAAGGAAAAGTTCCTCACGCTGACAACAAGGTTCCGAATGCTGAGAACAAGGTTCCTCACAATGAGGACATGGTTCCCACGCTGAGGACAAGGTTCTTTACGCTGACGACAATGTTCTTCACCCTGAGGACAAGGTTCTTCACGCTGAGGACAAAGTCCTTCACGATGAGGACAAGGTTCTTCACGCTGAGGGCAAGGTTCTTCACGCAGAAGAAAATTCTCGTCACGCTGAGGACAGGGTTCTTCACGAGGAGAACAAGGTTCTTCACGCCGAGGACAAGGTTACTCACGCTGAGGACAAGGACCTTCACGCTGAGGACAAGGATATTCCCGCTGAGAACATGGTTCCTCAACTTAGAACAAGGTTCCTCATGCTGAGGACAAGGTTCCTCAAGCTGAAGACAAGGTTCCTCACGGTGAGAACAGGGTTCTTCCCGCTGAGGGCAAGATCCTTCACCCAGAGGACAATGTTCCTCACGCTGATGACAAAGTTCCTCAAGCTAAGGACAAGGTTCTTCACGCTGAGAACAAGGTTCTTCAGGCTGAAGACAAGGTTCCTCACGCTGAGGACAAGGTTCTTCACGCTGACGACAAGGATATTCCCGCTAAGAACAGGGTTCCTCAACTTAGAACAAGGTTCCTCACTCTGAGGACAAGGTTCCTCACGCTAAGGAAAAGATCCTCACGCTGAGAACAAGGTTGCGCATGCTGACAACAAGGTTCCTCACGCTGAAGACAAGGTTCCCACGCTGAGGACAAGGTTCTTCACGCTGAGGACAAGGTTCCTCACCCTGAGGACAAACAAGGTTCCTCACGCTGAGGACAAGGTTCCTCACGCTGAGGACAAGGTTCCTCAGGCTGAGGACAAGGTTCTTCACGCCGGCGACAATGTTTCTCACGCTGAGAACAAGGTTCCTCACGCGGAAGAGAAGGTTCCTCACTCTGAGGGCAAGGTTACTAACGCAGAGGACAAGGTACTTCACGCTGAGGACAAGGTTCTTCACG